TAGGGTTTGCATTTATCTATCCGACCCCGACTCCGGCGGAATCGAAGAGCCGCGTGGATGCCTGGATGCCCCTCATGTACATTAACCTGTAATTTATAAGTTAATTACTCAAGTACCTCAAGCATAGCCAAAAAAGTGGCACGATTTCAACACTCTGCATGTCAACTAGATGCCAAGGACCAGGTGAAACAAAAAGATAACAGACCTCAAAGCTCTTTAACAACCTGCTATAGTAGGAATTCCCCAAGTCCCCGCGCCCTCGGCCGGGAACTGGGGCTGAAAACCACAGAGGCGATTCGACAACGTTGTGGTCCATTCTCCATGTCCGCATATCCGTTGGGGGGAAAGCCCACATGGCAAGGGGAATTCCAAGTTCCCAAGAAAGGATAAAGGCCTAAAAGGGCATGTATCCACAACCCACCCGCTCTGTTCTACTTCTACAACCGAAACGCGTTAGCTCATGTCTGTTAGCGAAAACAGCTTCCGTGCTGAACAGTCAAAATGATTATAAGTGCCCCACTGCCAAGACATTAGCGGGTAATTTTGACTGCATGGCCTTTTTGAACCGAATGAAAATAACAATACTAAGCCGGAACAATACACTCCACATACATTACATACCTTTGCCTACCTCGGGCACAGTACAACTCAGGTGAGTGAAGAAGATAGACATCGGGTCTGGCCAATAACAGGAAAGTTCACTTATTAACCACGAAATGTGAGGACTGAAAAGAGATGTCGAATCTATACATCACAGTAAAGAAGCTTTGTTTCCGAGAATAAATAAGGATGTGGCCCTTGGCCGCATCGTCTTAAACTTGTAAGTCCATGTTCTATTTCCAATAACAAATAGCAATGGCGAGAACCATCGCACCGTTACGGAGGTGGCCAAGGGACCAGGAATAAAGGAAGTGTAATTGCATTTGATTAGACTCTATATTCTCTAAGCTTCATGGAGTGTTAATCCTATTGAAAGGGAAGCGACAGCGTACAGATTAATTAGCTACATGTTTGTAAGCAAGGAAGGGGAAGAGAAAGGTAACTAACTAGATACTATTCCTAAATAATTTTAACTGCGTGAAGGAGGTGCTTGGAGCGTTGACATCGGCTCCTCGCTTTAACAGCATCTGCACGATTCTGTCGTATCCATAAGAAGAAGCTTCATAGAGCGCATTTACACCCTGGGCGTTGACATCGGCTCCTCGCTCTAACAGTACCTGCACGATTTGGTCGTATCCTCCAGAGGAAGCTGCATAAAGCGCATTTCCGTATTGTTCACTCTGGGCGTTGACATTGGCTCCTCGCTCTAATAGCATCTGCACGGTTTTGTCGCGTCCTCCACAAGAAGCTGCCTGGAGCGCATTTCCGTAGTCTCCACTCTGGGCGTTGACATTGGCTCCTCGCTCTAATAGTACTTGCACGATTGTGTTGTGTCCTTTAAAAGAAGCTGCCTGGAGCGCATTTCCGTAGTCTCCACTCTGGGCGTTGACATTGGCTCCTCGCTCTAATAGTACTTGCACGATTGTGTCGTGTCCTCCATAAGAAGCTGCCTGGAGCGCATTTCCGTAGAATCCACTCTGGGCGTTGACATTGGCTCCTCGCTCTAACAGCATCTGCACGATTTGGTCGTATCCTCCAGAGGAAGCTGCATAAAGCGCATTTCCGTATTGTTCACTCTGGGCGTTGACATTGGCTCCTCGCTCTAACAGCATCTGCACGATTTTGTCGCGTCCTCCACAAGAAGCTGCCTGGAGCGCATTTCCGTATTCTCCACTTTGGGCGTTGACATTGGCTCCTCGCTCTAACAGCATCTGCATGATTTTGTCGCGTCCTCCACAAGAAGCTGCCTGGAGCGCATTTCCGTAGAATCCACTCTGGGCGTTGACATTGGCTCCTCGCTCTAACAGCATCTGCACGATTGTGTCGTGTCCTTCAAAAGAAGCTGCCTGGAGCGCATTTCCGTAGAATCCACTCTGGGCGTTGACATTGGCTCCTCGCTCTAATAGTACCTGCACAATTGTTTCGTGTCCTCCATAAGAAGCTCCATAGAGTGCATTTTCGTAATATTGATCCAGGGAATTGAGATTGGCTCCTCGCTCTAATAGCATCTGCACGATTTTGTCGTGTCCTTTCGAAGAAGCTACCTGGAGCGCATTTCCATAATCCTCACCCTGTGCGTTGACATTGGCTCCTCGGTCTAGCAGCAACTGCACGGTTTCGTCGTACCCGTTCCGTGAGGCCCATATCAATGGGTTTGCCCCTGCATCGTCTGCCGTATTTATATCGTGCTTCTTAATAGCAAGCAGAAGATGAACTTCCTGCTCGTGGCCGTTAAATGCTGCCAGACTGAGTGCATTGATTGATGGCGCATCTGTATTTGGCATTACTGCCTCCCAAAAGATAGGAAACCAGATTGAAAACCGTCTTCTGTGTACATCGTACACTGGATGTAGTCGATTCGGCACTTCCTGGTCGAATATCAAAGTCGTTTTCCGTACGTGATCGGCCCAATGTACTGCTGAGTATTCCAAAAGATCTCCAATGTTAAAGCTCGGTTTGTCTTTGTAGTCTTCGTAGTCTTCCAAGTCTTCCAAGTCTTCCAAGTCCTCCATCAGAAGGTATCGCAGACAGATCTCAGTCATATGATCTTCTGCATCACTCAGGCTGCTCCAATATGGAAGGTGGAGATTTTCTGCAAATTTCTTTTGGATCAGAAACTCTCTGGCAGTCTGATGGATAAGGTAGATTTTTGAGTTGTTGGTAAACACGAACAACCCGCATAATTGTCGAAGTTGTCTCTGTAAATGAGTTGGGTCTAGCCTAGCCTCAATTATTGTTCGGGCCTCGGAGTAAGTGGCAATGCCTAGCGCTATAGCCATCTCCCGTATTGTCAGAGGACGTCGTGCAGCCACGATGATCTCTAGGATCTTTTTGACTGTATCTATTTCATCTGCTGGGACTCGACAGAGAATCTTTTCGTAAGCTGCATTCACAGAAGGCGATATAAGTGCGATCGAATGTTCTGCAGGCCGAAGGCTGCGCTTAAAGGCCGTGCGGATTTCATCAATCGCTAGATGTAGCCAGAGATAAGTACGGTGTTCCATTTGAAGCAGCTGCTGCTCAACTCTCTGATGGACATCCGGTGACAGTGGCACTGTTTCTGCTAGTTCTCTCACTCGAATCTTCACCACTAGGTCAATCTCCCTATGGATTCGGTCATTTTCCTCCTCTCCTTTGATGTGTATATGTGGGAAGGAATCAGTGATTGCTCGGAATTTATCCTGTATATGATCGTAGGGACGACTGGTAACGAGGAATTTCAAACAGGTATCCTTCGTTAATAAAGATGTTTGCTGATAAAAGAACTGTAGCTTTTCAATCAATCGCCCCTGATCCTTTTCATGGCATTCGTCAAGCGCATCGAATATGCAAATTATCTTATGTGATACGTCAGCTAATGCGGCAGCAGTGAGGATCCGCCAAAGCTCATCAACCTCGCTTCGCAGTGCCTCTCCGTTTTTCTCCCAGGACGGTATAGCATGAGGTAAGAGATGAGGCCGCTGGCTGAAGAGTTGATGTAGTACCGAACATAGTGCTGTATCAAGATGATTCTGGTCCTCGTTGTCTTTGAAGAAAAAGAAACATATGGTCACTCCTGGACTTGCAGCCTCCACGTGTTCGTCGATGATCGATCTGGCTAGTACAGACTTCCCGCAGCCTGGGTCGGCTGACACCCATAGAATGTCGTTATAGTTGCTCTCCCACCAGCAAATGTATTCAAGACTTTTCAAAGCCCACTGACAGGTTCCTTCCACCTTTCGCGGATTGATGTTCTTTTGTTCCTCATACTTTGATGTCTTTAAAGCTTGATGACAACGGCGTTGCTGATCTGTCAAAGCTCTCATGACCTTTTCGCGATGGTGTCGTTCTTGTTGGTTGTATGCTTGCTCTAGACGTTCATTTGTGCCTTCGATTTCTTCCTTCAATTTATCTGTATACCAAAGTGAGTAAGCCACTCTTGATTTAGGAGCAAGATAATAATGATTTCACTTACTACATATATCCACCACTAAGTTCTCTTGCGACACATGGCCCACTGGTATATATCCCAGCAACTCTTTAGCATACGATGCTGCTGCCAAAGCTGCGTATCCTTGCCATTGTTTGTTCTTATGTGAATCGGCGTAATCACAAACCCCGCGAATGACAATACAAGGAAAGTCCATCATCAAGCCAGCCGCCTCCATTTCGAAGCACAATGCGTCAGTTTCAAGCCTCAACCGGTCCCGTGTCCATGCATCCTTAATAACCGCATTTCCAGAAGCAATGATGCCATAGTGTGGTTGGGGATCATTGCTCTCGCGTTCGCTCCTCGTCTCTTCCCATTCTGCTAGACAACTATCACAGCTACTCGCAGTCATAGGATGATCATAGTCGCACTTGAAAAGTCGGTCCTGTCGTGTGCCAGGTTGACCGAAATTTTTCCGAGTTCGATCGTTCTTTCCGATCGCTCTTAGGATATATTCGGGATAGAGAGGATCATCTGTCAGCTCGGCAGCCCTCATCATCCCGACCGCTGCTAACAGCGATCTAGGAGGGCTATTCAAAGAGCCAGTTCGATGAAACTCGCCATTCAAACCGACTTTTCCCATATCATACTGAACTACACCGCCGCAAGTGCCCGCTGGATAGCTGATCACGATATCGCCAAGTCGTATATCATGAGCGGCCGACGGAATTCCGCCTGCGACACCAACCATCAACCCGATCCGGAGCGATTTTGAAAATGTGCGAACCATATTGTTTGCGACCGTGGTGGCTGATGTCGTGCCATATTGGCCTCCAGGGAGACAGGCGATCACGACATGGTGTTTGCCGATTCGACCTAGTGTATAGGTATTTGTGTCGGCTGGATCCTGTACATCGAGAATGCCAAAGCTCTCATCCAGCATTTCCCTCGCTGCGGCGGCTTCGATCGGCAGGGCACATATCCAACCGATTTGGAACGTTTCTCGTGGGGGACAGGCCATGTCAAATGTTTGGTTCGCTTACGATAGAATCTTGCAGAGACGCCGAAAAGAGTAGGAGGAATCGATTATTTTGAAGTACATTGAGGATGAGAGAAATACTGCCAATATAGGCAGAATAAAGCCCCAAGGCTCAGCCTCGTGCTAGACAAGAAGCACTGCAGCGGGCGGCAAGAGACGAAATACTATTGGTGGTAGCAGGTTGCCTCGCCAAGAGAATCCGAGGCGTGCCGTACCGAACCCCTCAATCATCGGGTCCACATATACCACGAAACTGCAGTCACGTTGCATTATATGCCATCGCATAAAATAGCGAAGACATCTTGTCAGCATTTATGATTAACCATCTATGATTTCTTATCGCCAAACGAAATGCGACCTCCAGTGTGGGAGGATTGCCCGATAAAACAAGCCATCGTTTGGTGGAGATCTACTGGTAAGGGGCGCACGTGACAGCCATGGCTCGTGCTCTGTTCCAAGAGGCGACCTACTTTGGACTCTACTAGCGCCTTGAAAATCAGAGACCTTGTCCAAGTTCAAAGCACTAGACCAAAATCTAGCTTAAGAGGCCTAATATAGACAGCCGCGCCTTTTAGCACAACAATTTGATAGAAATATATACAGTAAATAAGAACCCACTTGCATATTTTTCCGTGAACTACTGTAGAGCGAAACAAATCCGATTCTGCTCGAGAGTTAATTTACTGTACGCTGTAAATATATAACCGTAATTATGCGGTCAATTACGAAGCAATACCTTTCGAAGGCTAACGGTTTACAGATCTGGCAAATTATAAAATAGCACTAGCGTCTTGGCAGTGGGGGCCGGAAATTGAAAGTGCTTGTCTAGGATTGAAGCTGTTTTCGCTAATGACTGTACAACGCGAAATCCTGAACAGCGCCTACCCAGCCTACGGCGAGGTCCCTCTGATAGACGCCAGTGATCATGATTTCAAGGGGAAAAGATCTTGGTGGGCCCTTAACTATGAGATACGAGACTGCATGCGAGGACGGACACCTCGCCACTGTGCAGTCAATGGTGTCGTCAAGGAAGCATACGCCTCTTTTCCTTCATTCTGGCCTCACTTATGCCATATGTGCTGGTCAGGTAGAGGTTGCTGACTATCTCCTCTCCGTTGGCGCACCCATCGCGAGTAGTGCGCCGCACAACATCATACGTGCACCCCGCGATTCAAAGATTCCCCTCCTTAATGCTCTCGCACAGCGGGGATGGAGACCGGTGTCTCAAGTCTGCAGCGAGAATAGGAGACTTCTATAAAATAATCCATAGGACCTTAGTTCTTAGGATCTTTAGATGTAACTAGACATTGCCTAATATCACTGGGGAATTGAGTAAATGTGAAGTAAATGACTGGTTTTAAGCCATGATCGAGAACCTAAATTTTGGGCCAGCATTATTAGGATTGCTGTGCACCGCCTATTGAGGCTGAACGGAATTCGGCTTGATTAATAGACCGGTTCGGGGATAGTTAAAGAAGTGATAAGCAAAATCCGGTCTCCGGTACACTAAGTACGGCAAATCCTTGGCTTAAAAGTTTTCACCATGGGGTCAACTCGCAGTTACATAATCGATTAAAATGATGGGTGGTCATTCCGAGCTGAGGTTGCTCAGTCAAACTTAATTAGCATGGTTTGGTTTAGTACAGCTCACCAATTGAGATCTTCTCTTAGCCGCTTTGCCACAATTGAACCACACCCTTAGCGGGTACGGCTTTGTCCCACCAAATCGAAGAATTAGTCAAGTCCATGTTGTTTATCAAAAAATGGATTTGATGGGATCAAATACGGATTAGCGCGTTTCGAAATAATGTTTCGAGAAAGGATTTAGGAAAATGGTGAAACTAATTTCGATCCCTTCTGTAGAAATTAGACCGACTATTGAATCAATTCCGCTTGCTGCGCTTCCTACAGTATGTTATTAGATCAGACCGGTAGGCACGCAAAAAGGTGTTCCCTGTCTGTCAAGACAAGGCAACATCTATGGTTGGAAACTTCGAATTTCTACGCCGTAGAGTAGTTTTGCCACGGAAACAAGATCTATCCCCTGTGATCCACTGGCTACCATACAACCTTGAAGCCCTGATTTAGGAAACAGTATCGGGGGCCCAGCCATCGCCTCTATGGTTGTAATATTCGATATCTTCGTCAGGGTCCTCAGTGTTCTCATCCAAGTCCTGGCCATTCATGAATTCCATAATCAGTTGGCTCGTCCAATAAGCCGTTTCGCGCACCCTAAAGGGAAGGACTTCTCCCTTATGATTCACAGCCAAGAACAAAACCCATCCCTCCTCACATGCCTTACGATCGGCGAGAACAAGCATAAGACACTGCGCCATATCTGGCTTAAGTGATCTTTTATATGACTCCGAAGGCCAATCGCGAGCCGTTAGACCGTCCAATATATCGGGCTTGTGCATTAGCGCCGTAATCATATATGATGGCACGGAGCCTGGCGTCCCGCAGGCGACTCCATCTACAAAATCAGGATTCTTATCTCCATGAGGCATAGTGATACTGCCTGGCCCAAATTCCTCTTTGCTCTCAAAGATACACTCTTTCTCTAAACACGCGTCGAGTCCATGCTGAGAAACAATCGTGCGTAGACGCTTGTATCCAGCATCGGCGGCATTCTGGCTTGTCTGATCGTCTTTCCGTCCGAACCACGTCCGAATCCAGAGCAGTCTTGTTGTCTGGCCATCTGTGGCACGTGCATCATCTGACATCAGATCTTGAGGCACATAAGGAGGGATCTCCTCGGGAAATAGGTCGTCACCATCTGGGTATTCCTATTTTCCTATCCATGAGCGTCGATGCTAAGAAAGGGGCGGGTCTAAGGTTACATTGCGGCCACTTTTGCCAAGCCGAGTCCAAGACTCAACAAGGGCACGGAATTGTTGGAATTCTGTGACGGAGGAATTGGGGTCCCATTTGTCCTGTTATATACAATGTTAGTGATGAATAGACCGGATGGCTGGTCTTGTCTCATTCTGAAAAACCTCGTTGTGAATATGACCTTACCATAACATAATAATCGAAAGGCAGATGGCCGAATGGCATCATGTCGGTTTCATCGAACATTTTGTAGTGTAGTTACCGATCGAGAAGACTCTCTTTCAGGGTTTCAAGTTATTGATAGAGAACTCGCACGAAATGTGAGAAATAGCAGTGGGAGAGAAAATACGAGAGTTGAGGGGAAAAAAAGGAAAAGGAACCCGGAAAGACTAATTACTCTTCGCCCGTATTATCCAGTTGTCTAGTCATGACTTGTCTGAAAGATTTTGTCCAGGTCCTTGATCCTGCGAGCGGAAGACTAAGCCAACCTCTGACAGTTTTGTGCATCAAGCCTTGAGTCTCGGGTCGCAAATTGCCAACATATACTCGCAGTAGGTCTCTCATGATGGCGAATCTGAGTGTATTGGTCTCACGCCCTGGTTCGTGCATTATAAACGTGGTGCATAGCACTTTTCAGACTACAGTCAATACATGCCGGTGGTGCAGTCGTTAGCCGCGTTAACAAATATCCGTCTGCCATACCAGCGGCTTTCTCATCCCGTCGAAGCCTCCATGGGTCCACATTCTACTACGCCATCACCATTCGCTCCCTGAGGCGATATATTCGACGGCTCATTGTTACGGCACAAGTCTCGCCAGCCAATCTGTGGGCTTTCTTCTGTTACGCTTGGGAGGCCGGACTGAGCTGCATCATTAAGGAAGAGCGAGTGAATTATCTCTTTACAGCCAAAAGTAGGGGGTGGGCGTCCACAAAGATTGCCTTATAACATCCTGCCCGATGAAAACCCGTTTCTACGACCACTGCGTAACCCCTCCGAGGACGAGATCCAAACAGCCGAGGTGCAATGAAGTGAATGGTTGGCGATGGAAGGTTGGATGACACTGTAGGCGCGCGAACTCCAACAGACTCAGCTACCCAAACACTGCAATAAATACATGCAATATGTGTGTGTGCGCTCGCGCGCCCGTGTGTTTGTGTGTGTATGTGAAATTCATTTACCCTGACCCCTCTCGAGTTGGTCCCTTGGATTAATGTACAAGTATGATGATCATATTCAGTCTATGGGAAAAGATCCAGCTACTTATAGTCGCAGCAACTCATCTCCCTTCTGCCTAGCAGAGCGGCAGCCCCCACTCCTACAGACTTATATATACCAGATAACCTGGGATCCAACTAAAAGCGAGGGGTCGGGGTAAATGAAATCATCCATCCATCCATACTGTTTTGCATACTTTGAAGTTGACTCGACCCGTATCGGCTACTAACAGACTACTCAAGATAGGACGAGGAAGAATTTCTCTGTCATGCGATGCAGTTAGCTTTGAATAGAGGCAAACACATTTCCCATAATATTCGATGAAGTAAGCTAGCTTTAGAAATAAACAATCTTTCAACAAGTCTTCAAGCAGATGGGCGGTGAATTTCTCCACATGCTATGATTACATTCAACTTCAGTAGCTTTATCCTCTTTGTTGGTACCATGAACATTGGTCCGGTAGGTGGAAAGACCAAGAATTAGGGGTTGTGGGTGTCGACCTGCTCCGGCTTGTGTCGCGGCCGGAAGCGCTTGATCAGATTGCTCGTGTTCAGCGCAACCAGCTTACTCGTCGGCATCAAAAACAACTCGTCGATCTCCTCCAATGTTTTATCCTTGGTCTCGGGCATGAAGAACAGCTGGTAAAAGAAGCCTAGCGCGGCCAGCCCGCCGAAGAAGCCGATCGTCAGGCCGGTGTAGGTCATCGCCTTCTGCATCCCCTCGAAGTTGTATGTCACGATGAATGACCACAAGTAAAGGAATGCAGAGCAGATCGCCATGCCCTGGCTGCGGGTGTTGAAACCAAAGCTCTCCGCTGGGACTACCCAGGTCAGGCACGAATAAGCTCCGAAGAATGCCATGTACAGTATCAGACCGGAGAAAAACAGCCCCAAGGCAGTTGCCTTGTGCTCATTGAAGTAATCGACACCATTGTTTGTGTATAGGTAGCCGACACCCACCAGCGCCAGGCCCACGATGAACATCAGGATGTTTTGTGCCCACACGCGTCGTCCGAACTTGTCCATGGTGAACACGGCAGGAATAGTTCCTAAGAACAGAGCGCCACCGCCCACCATCGACATCAGGACTGACTCGCGGTCATCGAAATTCATCTTGGCCATCAAGTTCGACATGTTGTACATCACCGCATTGATGCCCGTCATCTGCCCGAAAAAGATCATTGCCGTGGCATAGACAAGCGCTCGTCGGTTGCGAGGCTGCCTGCACACTTCCAGGTACCTTTGATACCATTGCTCGTTTGCGGACTGCTCGACATCATGTTTGACCGTCACTTCCATCGCGACGTACTCGTCCAGGCTTTTCGGGTCGGCCATGTTGCGCAGCGACTTCCACACCATCCACGCGCGCCCGTACTTGCCCTTAGATACCAGCCAACGCGGTGATTCTGGCAGGAAGCACATTCCGACCAGGAGAATCGTCGAAAACAAGAGAGACGAGCCGAGCATCCAACGCCAGCTGCCTGACGGGACGTCAAAGAATACGCCGCCGGCCGCGTACCCAATGATCTCTCCGAATGCGATCATCAGTTGGTACACCGACACCAGGTTGCCGCGCACCTCTGGCGGCACACACTCCGAGATGTAGATACCGACACAGCCGCCTTCGATTCCGATACCGATGCCCAGAATGAATCGGCCGGCGAAAAGCATGCTGACACTGCGGGAGCCCGCACAAAGTCCTCCTCCCAGTGTGTACCACAAACACGAGATGATAATTGAGTTGCGGCGTCCAAAGTAGAAATTCAGCGGCGTCATCATGAGGGCGCCGGCCATTGCGCCTAGCGGCATCAGTGAAGAAATCAACGAAATGTCGGTCGCCAGTTTCGGGTCGTCCAAGCTCGCCCACTCGCCTGATGCGATGAAATGCTTGCGGATACCAGGCAGGGCGCCCGAGATCACCGACTGGTCTAACCCGCTCAGCATGCCGCTAAACGCTGCGAACACACCCAGCGTGATAACTAGCATGCGAGGGCTCTTCATGTGCACTGGTATCTGCGCGTACGCGATCCGGTCATACAGTGGTTCGTTGTCGAGGTACTGGTGGCTCTGTAGGTCGCGTGACTCGATCTCATGCTGACGCTCCTCGGGCGTGAGTTCATCGCTGAACTCTTTGCCTACGGCGTCAGGCTTTTCCTCGTACTTATCGCTCATTTCGTGTCGGTCGAATCAATCATGAAAAAAAGAGAAAAATGGAAAGAAAAGGTTGTGGGGGGTCAGAAATGAAGAGAGAAAGAAAGATTGGCGAGACGACCCCAATGTCCTCTATATAAGGGCTGTCTCGCCGAAAAGTTTGTCTGCGGGATATTGTACCCCTCCGCAAGTCCCCGATTTCCATTGCCCCAGACCAGACCCCAGAGTACCCCACAAATGAATTCTTTTCTTTTACTGGAAAAAGGTTGTTACATGGGAATTAAGTTTGTATTATTGTGGGGCTGTGTATGTATAAAAACAAGAAATGCTGCGTATCAGTCCAACATTCCCAAGCGCTAGAGTGGCTGCCCAGGCATCTACATGATGATAGCAATGCATATAACTATAAAATCCCAACTCAAACCATCAAGAAGGGTTTCTTTCGATTACAGCAAGAGTGGAAGGCTCTTTGTCAGTATGGCCGGCACCTCTCTCAATAGAGTAATGGATGAGCGACGCCTCAAACTTAGCAAGAAACCTTCCTCGGGGGCCCCACTCGGAAAGAACCGGCACGGGCGACGTTTACAGGTTCACACCCAATTGCCAAGTCGGACGGCTCAGCAAGACCGGGGTTGACTGGGGCCCCGACTATTTTTTTCTCCGAAGACTGCCCGACCGGAACACAAAACTCCGGGAAATCGAAGCCGACAACGGCTGAGATACCGAAAGAGAATCTGGACCGCCCTCAGGCCAGGTTTTTCATTTCTTCGCCCCCATAAGGCGAGGACATGATCACGAGGAAGAGCAGGATGCTACACTAAAATAGCTTCTGCTTCTGACCACTATATTCCTTTTTGATGTGCAAGTTACTGTATGCCTGCGCTTCATGGATGATATTCCACTGTCAGGCATACCAGACTCGCTGAATATTGAAACTTTCAGGAAGAATTAACGTTAGCAATATACAAGCTCGCAACGGAATACAGACGCCGATACAGAGTTTCGCCGATAATATTCCAAGGCCCCACACTAGGGGGAGCGCCTTGTGTGGCCTGACATCACAAATGCTGGTGCGGATCGGATCTCGTCCGAAGTTAGTCACAGAGATGGAATACCACTTCATATAATTTGGCCTGAACCGACGCAAAAGTTCGTGAATGACCAAAGTCTTGCTTGAACTGGAGCTCAATTTCTCTTGACAGGGGGGAAAGAAGCAAGCTATAATGGCAATATTATTGGTTGAGAAACGGACGGGGGAGAAGAGAAGCTTCGACCCTCCCACCATCCGTGGTCACATGACCCGGTCGGTCTTGTGATCTCAACAATTTCTTTTTTCGAAAGATGTGCCGGCCATTCAAACTCGGTTGAGTCGGTGGCCTCGAAAAACTCATATGCCGATACACTTTCACAGTCAAAATACGATGGTTGACTAACAGAGTACTGGTTTTCCTATTTCCCAAGATGTTGCGGCTATTAGTCAGATGATTTCTCATTGGTCAATGTTTACTTGCCTTCCAAGTACCAGTCAGGCAAACCAATATGACTTGAACTTCTTACCTGCCTTTTCTTTTGATCGTTTCATGGCATTGGCGTGCGAAGCGCGCGTCACCAGTTGGTGCTTGGTTGGGTTCCTGGTCACGTTCCTTCCTTCTCGTGTTCGGTTGTCTCTGTTCGTCTCTTTGCTCTCTTGTCCTACTAAATGACTGTGATAATCGAAAATCAGTTTTAACGACAATCTATGACTGTAGATTGGCATGTTATTATTAGTAAAATGTAATTATTGTTTTGCTGACCTTGGCTTTGCCCTATCGTTAAATTATGGCGATGTTTATTCCCCTGACTCTCCAACTATTATGGTGAAGTGGTGAAGTACTACGACGCAATATGGGCGCAATATAGGCGCAAATGAGGTAACTAGTGTCGCGGTGGTTAGCAAGTCTCTCTCGAGACCGGGTGAACTATTCCGATCAGGCTGCTCATCCTACCGCCTTCATGCCGAAGGGCAAAGGCTGGTAGACAGAGGAGGAGATGGGCGATTACTAGCAAATGCACGGACTTCTGGCTTGATGCTAGCTGGTCATACGTGCACCGTCATCTGCGAAGATGACCAGTGCGTGTGCGGAGCGCAAGAAACAGTGGCCCACGTATTGATGGATTGCCCGAGACTAAAGCAGCTTTGTACGAGATCTTACCTAGTCGGAAGTCTCCGACATTATAAATATCTCCCATTAATATTCTCCAATTCAAGTCTCCTGTGGCACATGATCAGAATAATCTGTGTGCGCGACATTGTCCATCCATATTTGGCATGCTTGTTGACGATAGTCGTCTGTCTCGACATGCAAATTGAGGTCCTCGTCAGTAGCATCAAAAACAAAATTCGATGTTGACATATTATACTCCCTCCACTGAAGTGATAAATTCCTATCTACTAAAAACCATTAGTCCGACCAGTCTCTCTCGTCAATTTTTGTATCTATACATACCTCTCAACTCATTCGGATCTTTCCTCGACACAAATGCAATCCACCGTCGATTCATTTCCTTTGACAAAGCAATATGTCCTGAAACATTTTTCGCCGGTGGATAGAACTGAATCGGCGTGCTTATGCCCCCCGGCAATCCCATCTCATATGCCAACTCAGCCCCATGGTTCGCAAATCCAGGCCCTAGACCGTAGAAATACTGTATCGGGATCCCAGTCGTGGCTGCTTTGAAGTGGAAGCTATACGTCGGCAGACCGAGTCTAGACCATAGTTGGGCCATATACCGTCGGGGCGCATGCGAGACGTAATCGCCCAGCATAGCGGCGGAGCGGCGATATTGAGAGCCGCAGGGGAGACTGACGGCATTCATTGCCTGGCACCAGGCGAAGTCTGGAGAGAGGGAGTAGGGTGGGGCTTCTCTTTTTCCGTCCTCTGGGTAGAGATCCAGCAATTGCTTGATGACAGAATGTTGTAAGCGAGGGAAGCTGGTCTCGAGTAAGACCGTAGTTTCATTCGTTCTGTTGGGAAAGTATCCCGACGCCGTCACTTTTATCAAACCCTCGTCCGAATTACTGCCTAAGAGAAGAGGCACACGGACACAATTTCCGTCCCGAATCTCCCAAGCAGGAGGTCTCTGCAGAAAGTCACCATCTATCACCGGACCCCACTCCACTCCGATGCTCCCCTCAATGGGATAGAGATTATATAACGAGGTTCCACGAAGACACTCAAGCTTATCCTCTGCCATCGTGCAATTTGCCATCCCAACTAGCTTATCAAATCCAGCCTGCATCTCGTCTGTTTTCGGCAACGCAGCCCCCGTAACGAACCCACTGACTGCAATGGCACCCCTGAACAGCTCCCCACCACCGCGGCCTCCATAGGCAACGAGCTGTTGTGCAACGCTGACTCCGCCCGCAGACTCGCCCAGATTGTCACTCGTGACGGGTCACCGCCGAATGCGACGATGTTCTCTTGGATCCACGCCAGAGCCAATCGCTGGTCTTTGAATCCCAGATTCGTCACCCCGGCGTTTTGCGCTTCGCGTCCGCCTGGAAAGCCGAGGAAGGATAGACGGTAGTTTACACTCACGGCGAGGAGGGGCTGTTCCTCCTGTACAGATCGTTGCACAATATAGGACAGATTCCACATTGGGTCTGCGGAAGAGCCCTGATGCAGGCCCCCGCCGTATATCCAAAATAGTACAGGGAGAAGAGTGGTGTTACTTTATACTTTTGCTGGGGCGGGTCGGATGATATTCAGATTCAGGCAATCCTCGCTTTGAGTCAGGCCCAGGAGTTCGTTGGAGCCGAAGCCGTAGCAGGTGTTTCCGTAGCGGGAGGCGTCAAATGGGGCGTCTTGATCGTAGGTGGTATTGATGGGCTTGGGATTGTCTAGCCGCGGGGCTCGGGCGTAGGGGATTCCCAGGAAGAGGTCTTGCTGGAAGGAGGGGAGGTAGACGCCGCGGATAGTACCGTTGCGCGTGATAGCTGTGGGAGATGGATGATGCATGCCGTGAGTTAGGGCAACATATGTGAGCATGAATAAACATTTCAAGTGCATTATCGTTCAAGAAAATATTAGGAATAGATGTCTTGTCACTGGGATGGAAGACATCCTCGGCTTTTGTATATATGGTATCCCTTCCATAGCTAACCTCAATTCATTAAAATATGTAAGGGAATTGTTTACCTTTTGTCAAGTATCATCAAGTATGTGAACTAAGCCATAATGATATATAGCCCCGTAAACCCCCTTACTGAAAATTTGTACAAGTGGCGAGACATTTCATATGATATTAAATTAGTACTCAACTCTTCCATTCAGGGCGTTATTCCAACTCCTCAATCTCTAATCTATTTCATTTTAGCAATCTACTACACATATTACACTCATCTACCATCGCATCTTCCACAATATTCTCGTGTTCTCGAATCTCGCTATATTTACAGATGTGGAATGTAACAACCCTAGTCATACGTTGATCTGGATAAAGGTGAACGACAGGTCTATATTTCAACAAGGTAACAAAACTGCAGAAGGAAAAGAGCTAGAGCTGCTGGGGCAGCTGTTTAAGTACATAGTGTTCGCAACATTGTTTGACCCTCCTCTTTGATCCTGTGTCACGTGATGCACTTTGTTTGATCCTCAGATACTGAATGGATCGCATGGTTGTTATTACGTGAGCTAGCTAGCTAACTTAACTTTAACTATATCCGGACCTAATCATGTAATTAGAAATTGCCCAATAAATAGTTAGCAGGAAATAGGGGTAATGAAATACAGAGTCATTGATATCTCCAATTGGCCGGATAGAGTATAGATCGTGACAAAGACAGCTACCTACCTCTATCGAGGTACGATAAAAGAGGGAAACCTTCGGTCACCAAACGGATGCTTACCGACCTAGATGCCCAGCTTGATGCAGAAGACGCCTCTGGACAGCCCTCTTTTTTAATTCTGCGCCCAACTGCCAAGATGCTAGCCCGGAAATTGAGTGCCGTTCAGTGGACCGCAGTAGTCTATCCGCTATTTTAAGACTAGCAAAATCCAAATTGAGTAAATCATTAGCCCTGTTTTCTCCGAGGGGTGCGAATCGTACGTGGATACCGTACTCCAATTTCTTCAAACCAGAGGAATTAGATCTCACAATCATTAATTGCATCGTATCTAGGTTTGATACGCACTGACAAGAAGTGTTCTGTATGGATAATGAGGGAAAATAAGAGGTCTTACTTGTGAGTGGAACGGAGACTATCTTTCGCAGATTGTCGTAGTCTCACTCCGATCTCCTTCTCAATGAATTGAGCAGGATACGCTAGACATTGGGCAGGAAACCCAACTCAGTCCACATGCCAAGCTTGACTAGGTAGAAAAATGCATAGACTGTAGTAGATGCGTTGAGTATGAGAAGCTGATAGCAGACCGGGTTCCAGTACAAGTTCACCGAACGAAAATTTGATTTTAATGTCTTGTGGCACCATGTGTGGGGAGGTATGAAGAACTCAATGATATCTAAAGCAGGAAAATTGAAGAGCCAAGAACGTTTATGATAGCTATGTAGTATTTGACTTCGTTTTCATTGCCCTTTCACTTCCTCCACATGCTCTGTATATTGATATGGGTAGAAGGCACAGCTACAGCGGCGAAAGGCAGAATAAAGGAAATTTACGACAGCTTGATAGATTCTATCATCAAGGGTCAAAGAGCCTCCAAATAGTCACCCAACTACTTCTCTTCGCGGCGCCATACGCTCCAATTTTTTAAAGTAAGTTTCCTTGAATTGCCACACTCGGAGATGATCCTATCCGCCATCGCAGATTACGTCATTAGCTAGACGGCGGCGGAGGGTTTCTCCGAAGCGTCGGCGTGGGAATCCACGCCTCGTCGACAAATTCCCCAGAGCATATACAATCCGTACATTCATTCCTGCTCCGGAGTTACCACCTTGATTCTTTCGATGGCTGAAAGTTTCGAGGTTTCCTGCCCGCCTCCGTTGGTCACAGTCATGACTCATGACCGAGACACATGACGAGCGGGCTAGCCCTGATGGCGTTGGGTCTCCCGGAGACCCTCAGCATTAATTTTCTCGGTGTGAGAGCAAGCAGACGTGCCGTTTTCACAAGAAGAAGGTCCTGGAAACCTGTCAGGCATGTACGCTCCGAAATAATACCTAATTTGCGGCCGTCACTTTCCTTGCGCTTCTTGCAAGCGGCAGAAATGCCTCAAAACTGCGCACCTCCACACGCCTTGAACCCTCTACACATCCTGCTACCTTTATGTCGGCAGCCTCGAGGCTTGGTCAGATTCTACCCAAAAATCTCCACAATCAGGTAACCACGTAGGTACCATGGGGCATGATCGCAGTGGGTTTGTATTCCACCCATGTCAAGCCATTCTTGATACTCTTGGTACTACAAATCAAACAAATCGGCAGGATAATACACATAGTGAATTGGCCGTCCTTCTGCAGCGTCCAATGGATCAGATGTGTCATTCGGGATCCCGTCCTGATGACCCCTTTACCAACCCTAATTTCTACTTCCGTTGTCTGTCTGCCCATCGGAAGATTCTGGCAATATTATCACCTTCACATTTAAGCCCATGATTTTGTTACGGAGTACTTCACCCGGCCAGCAACATTATTCCACATGCTCGGTACACCGACATTTCAAAGACAGCAGTACACTGCTTTTAGGCCAAATCAAGGCGCGGCCGATCTCTCTTGGATCGCCCTCGTATTTGCGATCTGTTCGGGAACTATCAACCCTGTCGATAGTGATGAGACCAGCTCTTTCGATATCTGGTTCAATGCTCCTGGTTTTCGGGGTTTGTCCTCGGTTGCTTATGGCCTACGAACGTTCATCATTATCTGTCATTTGAAGGATGAAATCTTTATGCGCCATGATCTCAGCATACGGGAGACTCTCTTGCTTCTAACCCACACCATCAGCAATCACGAAAGGGTCGAATGCGTTTGGAAATTGCTTGGTATACCACTTGACTCTGGCCGCGATTCTAGCATGCTTCTCCTCATTTGGCTCAATGAATATTGGGATTGTATTGAAATGTAATATCGAGTATGAAACTCAACAATTCAATTGCATCGAGGTATAGCGACGCCGTCGGTGCTGGGCTGGTATTTTGCTGCTTCATACATATCAGGCAACCTTTTTGTCAAGGAATTTGAAATGTCACCACTGCTGAATATTGATGCCATTATGCCAGCAGATGCCAACGCCAGCGACAGCGACATTCGAGCTCACACCAGTTTCTGACTCTCCAGTCAGCCCACGCATACGTCTTTCTTGCGATTCAAAATCCAGATATTCCAACCTTCCTCCAGAAATTACCGTGACCCATCAAGCTCCTCAAGGTACTGTATGATGAGGCTGTCTGGAGTGTATTTGATAGCGAAGTGGCAGTGCACAGCGGAAGTGAGACACTATCTTCTCTCCTTGACGGGCCACCACGGTTGTAGGATTTTTCTAGTCATATTCACGGGTGCATCCCGCTGCTGTACGCGCACCAATTTCACCTCTTATTACGTGGCCTAATTTGCAAGCCTCGCAATCCATGATTTAGATCGACGTTCAGCCCAAAGCGCATGATATCTGGTACTGCATCACTACTTTCCTCGTTTACGGAACTATGGGTTGCTATCATCTGGCTTAACAAGCTTTTATTGATGATCTCACACTGTCAAGAGGAGCAAGAAGAGTGTTGTTTGGCCATAACGGTCACCTGTCGCTGCGGTGATAGACCATAGCGTCAGATAGAATCGTTCGCGCTCCCCTGTAGGGAGGCAATGTGTCTGTATTGTGTATTATACTGGATTTTATGTACAGAAGGAAGGCGGGAGGGACAAAGTTGAAACCTGACCGCGTGACAGATGATGAGCTACCTGCAGAGGCAAGCAACTAAATCTCGTGAGGCAGTTGTAGGAGGAAGAGGCCCTCCGTAATGTCGGTGTAGTCATCACGTGAGGCTACAGGCATTGTGACGCAAACCCAGAATATTACTTCCTTTACGCGATTCGTAGGGCTATCGCTCTTGTTTCATGTTCATTCTGATTCCCCTGTGACACAGTTCAAAAAGCTGCAAACCTAGAGTCATATCTACTCCAAGGCTTATCCTATCTTCAGTCAAATCCAACCATTGTTATTGTTTCATTTTGGATACTCATGAGCTGTGCAACCTATTGAATGTCGTTCTTTATATGGGGGATTCTTCTCAGTCGAGCGAACTCAGACATCTTATCTCGAGGACGTTGGATCTGGAGCCATGTTTGATCAACGAATCGATGATGGACAATAAATGAACCCAGATTCCATCAATTGGGTGGGTCGAGGAAGCCGCTACCTCGCCATTTATTCGTCAACTTAAAAATATTACTGAATCTTTGGGATCAGATGTTGAACTTCGATCTTTTGTTTTTAATCATCGTGTTTCATGATTCGCATTAACCATTTGAGGGTATCTCATCGGCTCGTGCGCGGCTTACTGCCGCAGAAATTCAGAACTGGTTCGACGGCCTAGAACCAGTGATTCGGCAGATAAAACACTACAATATGTATAATTTCGATGAGACTGGCTTTATGCTGAGAATCTGACTCGAGTGTCTCGTGGAGTTAGGAATGGTGGCTGACTGTCGAGGACATTACGATCATTCGTCCTTCGTGCTTTGTTCGGAGGTTCTATTTGTTATTCTTACTAGAATTTAAAATTCATCGTTAGTGCTCTGAATGAAATGCTGGTCTGGTTGTCTACGAGACTGTATGGCGCAATACCTGCAAGCGTTTCACTACTCTGCATCCCAGGTCCATTTCCTTGTTTCTTCTGTGTGTTCAAATCTGAAACTGTTTGCCACAGACGCCCTTCGATTAAAGTCATCTTCCCAGCTAACCCATCCTCAGGGTGTTTCATGACTGTCCATCTCACGAATTGTTACTTGTGCAATGGCTTTATAACTCCCTTTGGCCGTAGCATAGAATCGTCACTGCTTTGTTCTCTCAGTCTACTCCTTGTCGACTGTTCTACGAGTCCTCCTCCAATCTCATCGGCAAAAGTGCTGCTGAGTGGAAGCCTAACAACTCAAATGCATGGTATTCTATCAGGACCATGGACTTAATAGGAAAGAGAATGATTTATTGCTGAGTCTATTCATATCACCAATTCTTTAGTGACAGCACCTGGAGATGAAATTTTCTGGCTGCATTCATCCTACTTTACCTCTATATACGTATCTATGCTACTGGAGAAATAGACCCCATGTATATTAGCTCTGAAACGGAACTTCTACTGCGTCGCTTTCAGTTTTCAGGATTTCGAATGATGCTATTCTCACAATGAGTGTTCCTCCAACAAGAGGGGCCGCCGGCCATTTCGCATCAGTTTGCTGTATATTATATCTGCTAAAATGATGCCTTCACAGTAAATATACCGAGAACCAATATATGGCCGTTCTGGAAAAGTTGTTGAATCGTTATTTCACACCAAGGACGGCTAAGGTTGCTCATGAGTTTGCTTGCTCATTGACATTTGCTACTGATGCAGCGACAAGCTACTACGTGAATGATACGGGAAAAAAAAAAGATAAATATTCTCTCTTGCGAGGCATAGGTCACGGAAGCGTGTTCTAGGAGTTTTTCGTTAGGCTACGCTAGCTTCTAGCTGGGAGATACGTCTTGTTAACGAGTCGGAGTTTGGCAGGATGTACCCGCCAAGACGAGGTCTCCGAGTCCGAGAGAATCTCCTATCTCTGCAGAGGCCACTAGACCGGTCGGCGCGACATACCGAGCCTTCTTTAGTCCATTAGGTCCGAGAATATCCAGCGTCGGAGATTATTATTGTAGGAATCGCCGATATTTATAGCAGTATTCCATAATTGGACCCGGTAGTTCGTGTCTTAACTCCGAGCTCATATAACAATGAGTTTTTGTTAATCGGCATTTCGCAGACAAGGTTTGATTTAGTCGGGAAAGAGGCTTGAAGTAAAACTCTGAGATTTAAATAAATGCAGAGCAATGAACACAAGGAACAGCCTGGTTCAAGCTGTTCTCTTCCATGAGATATACGTACGTCATTATTTCACAGATGCTTCGCATGGTGCATCCTTGAGAAACCACCTCCCTCACCCAGTCCTTGGACTCTTATAGGGGTTGTTTTCACACACCAACATCTTCATTGGATCAATCACTGGCTGGCACCGATCATTCAGGGAGCTACAGGAGTGTTATCGAGGGACCATCGAGCATTGGACGAGAGACGTTGACTGCTCACGTCTATACAATTTTCCTCTTTGCCTTGGGTTATCTGACTGAACGCCCAATCTGTTTTCCATCATCTATAAACACGCATACAAACACACAATGACAGATCGTCAATGCAAGCCATCAAATCACCACTCGCAGCAGGATAATGTGCGGAAGCGCGTGTGCAAGGCCTGCGATCGCTGTCGCCTGAAGAAATCCAAAGTATGTGTCAAGGGAGGAGAGTATAATGGTCACCGCACTGAGCTAGACTAACCAAGAAAGTGCAGTGGAGATAGCCCGTGCTCACGCTGTCGTGTCGATAACACCATCTGCGTCTTCGGGGGGCGACAGGAGGCCTACGATAGTGTATACCCCAACGGGTGAGCCGAACATTATACCAAACGAATTGCCTATAGTCTTCGCTAACTATATTTTTCTCCCCGGGTTAGGTATGTTGAGATCCTTGAACAGCAGCAAATCTGGCTTGTCCATGGTCTTCAGGAGCTTTACCTTCGTACTGTCAAGGGCAAGGCTGCTGGCCTGACAGTCAGTTGAAGCCCGTGCTCAATGATCACTCGCTTACACACCAGCTGCTCACATATCTTGGCATTATCGACAATGCAAAGGGTGAGCGCTTTGAGGAGAGCCTCGACGCTCTACAATACAGCCCATGGCTCCACGATGGGATACGGATCCAGGAGCCCTCCGATGGCAGCTCTACCAGTACTGACACCCCTGTCGCTTGTCTCCATTTACCCAACACCTTCACTTCTGCATACTCCCAAGGTATCATGAGCCCGGCTATGCCGACATGCAACCTTTCAATTCAACTCACCTCAACCAAGGACGGCTCCGAACCGTCGACGGAGGCGGTTGCTGTTGACGCCACTATGTCTTATCTACAGTGCCAAGAAGCCTTGTGTATGCAAGGAATCCATAACTCATTGGCCGTAGACAGCGTCTCCCAGGAATGGCCCGTTTGGAACGACCTTGATCTGTTTGATGAAATGGATCCAGCTTATATGGCAATACATGAGGATTTGCGCTTGAACAGCCCTATCCCCTCACCTGCATCTGATTTCCCGATGTCGACGGATGACGCTCATCCTAGTGATCTCAAAAAAAGCTTAGACTTACTTCTCAAAGAAGACTCGACGATAATTTCTTTGATTAAGATTCTATGACATGAGCAAACTTTCAGGTATGCACGACATTGAAAATATTAGTGGAGCTAAACGACGGGCTGATTGTCGTGATGCATCTTCTGAAATTAAGCGTCAGGATTATATGGCCCAATATATCATTTATTTTGTATTCTACATGATTTTGGTCGTCCTATACCCCTTTCTGTAAATTGAGGCGAGCCAATGCGTCCTACGTAATTACGTCTGAGTAAATAGACATAGTTTATCTTGTCACTGAACCGGGATTTAGCTGTTGTCGAATTTAGCCGTAACCCTCGACTATCGACATGCAAGGCCAGTCACAAATTCTACTGATAGATGTGGAAATACCTTTCAGTTGTTTAAATAATTCCTTGATTTAAGACTTGAATGGTTGAATACAACAGTGGACATCTAAGAAGGGTGGATGTTTAAGAAAAGTGTTTAAAAGCGGAAAGAGAATTCACAGGCAACCGTTCTCTATCATCACCGTTTACCTCCCCTTTATAATGAACCAACTGTTCGGCATAAACGGCTAAGCTATTTCCAATGTACATTGAGTTTATAGATAGGCTGAACTGAGTAGGTAGAGGGCCTAGACTCAATTCTCCAAGAAATTTAATGACGCATTGAAGAAAAACTACAACCACCTTTGATCGAGGCAAAAAAGTCGATGTACTGGTTCGGTTATAGTTTTTTCTTGAACATTTGGTGAGCCGAGCACAATCCTGGCCAATTCCCACCGGTTACAGGTCTGGAGATTGCTGTCAGTGAATACTTTAAATTATTGGTCAATTGTTTGTTTCTTGCCTGTAGCTTACGGCACGGCACGATCAAATGCCCCATCCCTAGGAAGTAGCAGCCGCTAGCTGGTTACTTCCCGCTTATAGTGGACTTGTTTCCGCCAGAGCGAAGATTTTAAGTGCCGTTTCTGAGACCGGAACTAGAGACTCAATCAAGAAATGAACCGTCACGTTCTCACCCCCCTTTTCCATCGATCCTCTGCGGGTACCGTGTCTCGTGGAGGGCTATCGACCGTCTCCGTCTCGTGATGCGAGCACAAATCTATCCATAAAAGCGACAGTGAGTTCAACCACGAGGCCGTTTGAATCTCACCATCATTCTAACATTAGAATATAGCTTCAGTTGGCTCCAAAGGATCTCTCGACTGAACTTAACGAGATGGAGGCTTAGATCCGTGGGTCAAGAAACAACCGTTGGAAACTAAGTAAGTACAGCAACGCTCTAATCGCGGCATCATTCACATCTTACGTGACTGCGCACCAGAAAATGCATTGGATTGTCCAGTTAAAGCACGGACAAGAAGTAATCAAAGGAAACAACCTTCACCAGTGCAATAAAAGCACAATTCACTAGCCGCGCGACTAGATTTCTGCTACAGTATATCCTGATCCGCAAGTCTTTGTGCGATTGGATCATATTACTGTATGGTCTACACTGACGTCTTAATTATTGCACTACAGCTTAATATAATTTTACTTTCGTTTCGTTTCCCTCTTCTCTGAGATTGTCAAGTTGATATACTATCCTACGAAAGCTTTCAAAGGGTGTTGTAGACAGGGCTTCACTGCTTGATTCGATTTGTTCGTGTGGATATGCGTATTGAGTAATGTGTTTGAGTTTCCAAGTGTGGAGTATTCCATATTTCTTCTCTAGCTGTCTACAGTTACTTCGCAAATGCAGTAACGAACGTATTCCACACCAATATATCAAGGCTCTTCCTCGCTTCCTTCACAGCTGCACTCCCAAGTACTTTCTCTCTCATCTAAAATCTCAAAGTCAGCCAACTGTTCTCAACCCACCAACAAAAATTAAGGGACATTTCAAGCTCACCTCACTACTCTCCCACCCCAACACACCAACCCACCTCTTCTCCTCTAGATTTAGACTCGTCCCTTGAATACTATCGCCATTCTCATTCACACCACCCGCCTCTGCAACCGCACTAACAAACTTCTCCCACGTCCCCTTGGCCTCCACTACTTTCTCATCCCCCTCCCCGATCTTCACCTGCCACACCTCCGTCAATGCACTCCCAAACACCTCACTCGGCCCGAAATCCGTGTTATATAGCTGTGGGACTGGCGGTGCAACAGAGTGAGGCTTCACGATGGATTTGAAGTTCTGGAAATTGTCTGATGCGACAAAGGTGTTGAAATGCGAGGCGTCTTCCCACTCTGTCGAAGAATCAGCATCAGACTATGTTCAAATTTGCGCGAGCGCTAAGAGGAGGGAAAGGGATGGTAGTAGGACGGGGACGGAGGTGATGACAGTAAGAGTAAAGGAAAGGAGGAAAGGGAAAGAAAAGGGGAAGGAAGAGTAAATGACGAACCAAGCCCAACGCAAAGTCTGAAGTCCCCCGACACATCATTGCCATTCTCGAGGAGAATCTTCCCGAAGTATTTGGACTTGGGAGGAGTGGCATGTGTTTCAAGGATTGTGATGAGAATGGGTGCGATCTCGGTGGTGAATGTTGCTTCCGTTACGGGATCTGTCTTCAATGTTGGGACGACGAACTCGGTGAAGGGCATTTTTGCTGTGTTGTTTAATTGTGAAATTGAAGGATGAGAAATTGTATGTGAGATTGAAGAGCTTGGAATTGAACTTCTTATATATAATCTTCCCTCATCCACTTTCTCTCTCCCGCCTCATACTAATCATTCAAAAACCCAAATGGCGACACTCACAGTGCGTCCCGAAATAAGTCATTGATTACATCATCTAACAGAACCTCGGGCCGAAGCCAAAATCCACTCGCATTTATAATCAGGTAAGCTCTCATCGTTGAAAATTTTCGTGCCTTACAGGGTAGTAGTTCCGGTAAACTTCCCGCCCCAATTACAAATCTCACACCAGAAAAAGCGATCCACCCCTCAGAGTGGGGTTGCTCTATCTAATTGATGAGAAATCTGAGTAATCCGCAAACCTTACCCAGACCTTTTCTCCGTGAGAGTGGCGGTGGTGTGTGTCTGGTAAGTTTCTGCGGGGGTGGTATTAGAGAGCAAACTTGTAAAACAGCTTCGCGGCCCCACCAGTCTAGTAATAATTCTCGATGGCTCCTTAGAATCGCTTAGAAATGTGGTTCTTTTGATGAGTGATCAAAACCGTGCTGCGTGCTGGTCTAGTAACAAGCTGGTAGAGTAATAAGGAACCGGGAATAAAACAGATCGACGCTAGTTTCTCGCCCTATCTGCCGTGATGAGTGATCATTGATTTATCAGCCAGATAGTGGTGGTTTCCCCACTAAACGTCAGATCAGACCTCTGACGTCGGCCAAGAACCGATATGATCGCTCATCTTCGTAGGGGAACCTTATTCCATCGCACACTACGGTAGCTACATTGACTAGTCAAGGTCTAACTCTAACATAATCAGTCACTAGTTGGATAGGTCCATTGCTGAGGTTTCTAGAAAGTATGTTTAGCGAGACGACCCACTCCTGGCCTCGGCTGATCTGCTCATCACTAACACTATCTCCGCCCTCCACGATCTACTAGGTGACGCCATGAACAGCCAAACAAATATGGTTCACGAATGAGAAAGGCAGTCTGTTGCTGACATTTACCGGCATTATTCCGCCGGAGTTCACATGGAATTTATTTGTCAGAGATTAGCGGCCATGTCTTCTTTCATAGAGGAAGGATTGCCGCCATGTACATTCTATATCTGCCAAAAATTTCCAAGTTACTGTACTCTTTCACTGACTCCAATTCCGCTTTTTGTCTGTTCGTCTTTCTCCTTAAAATCTCAATTTTATGTAAGAACAACCGTAATATTCAAAACTCTCAATGTTATCAGTATACTGTAGTATATAGCGCTTGGTGGACTACCAAGGTACGAATAAATTCAAAAATATATATACGCTGCAATTTGCCGCATTCAGACGACCTTATCCTGAAGCCAAGGGACTTCATGTATAATCACTTTGATGTCTCATACGCTTGATCTGACCACTACTTGAAAGTATCTCATCCTTGCTTCAAGCGTGGTAACGGGGGTGGTAGCCTTTCAATCCTAGGGGAGATGTCGCGATATCCGAAAATCTAAGATGAAGCATGATCTTGAACATCATTGAATAACTTCTTGTAGTCCAAATAAGACCTTATTCCTATTCGTCTACAGGATATGGATTACTGCATGGTTCCTAAACACCTCACAGAACATTCGACTTGTGGCCAGGTGGTTATTTTTCAGTATTGACTGATGTCCTGGTTCATAGATCCATTATCAAACAGGCCTGTCATTCTCCAGCAGTGGAGGCTTACTTGCTCTTAAGCGACAAGATCAGTCAAGAATGCGTGAAAGCCTTGATGCCTTTCACAACATCCCCCACAAACTCGCCACTCGGCGCAGGACATCCAAACGCCCAGAATACGTGGGGCAAGCCTCTATAATATTCAAGCTGGACCGGGACCCTATCAGACGCCAAAATTAGGACGAAGGATCTATATAGCGCGTTCTGCAAACAGAAACAAACGTACCCGGATGCCTTCAAGCGATCATGGAGTATCAGGCCGTCGTCTCGAATAGGGTCGATCTCACAGACGGCAAGGTATGTCGGTGGGAATTGATGCAGTTCCGACTCAGCGTTGAGAATGTAAACGTCGGGATCGGTGGGTTGCGCCCCGATCGCGTCTATAACGGCGACAGTGAGCGAAATGCAGCAAAGGGATACAGCGAACTCGGTGCCAAACTCACTGTAGAAACGGCTCATGGTTTGCTTTGTGCTGACTGGACTATCAGCACACTCCTCAAAGGCCCGGTACCGGTCAACATAGCGTGAGGGCACGGCGTCGGGGTGGAGGGCGAATGGAACGATGGCTGCGACGCCCTTGACTTCGTCTCTGCGGCCCAGCGAGATCAGCCGGCGCATAAGCGTAAGAACAAGACTACCTCCTGCACTTTGTCCAACAACAAAATATCTCTCACGATTGCCGTTCAAGGCAGGCGCGTTCATATAAGCCTAGACTGTTAAGCCTTTTTTCATATTTCCGGTGGACGTTGTAACCTACCCAGTTCCACGCCTCCACGGCGTCATCTAGCTGGGCGGGAGCCTTGTATTCCGGTGCAAGTCTATAGCCGACCGAAACTATCACACAAGGCAGGCGTTCCGCGACCTGCCTGCAGAAAGTGTCCTCGGAGTCCAAGTCTCCACAGCAAAGCCCGCCCCCGTGGAAATACAGTCCGACAGGAAGTGGATGGGTGTCGGCATGGCCAACAGTCGGCGTGTAGATTCTCACCGTCAGCTGGGGTGTGATCTTTCTATCTTCTGTTATATGTTATATGTTAGAGTGCGCAGTCAGTGGGCAGAGGTATGGAATCCTCTACACGGGGATAGCAACGTGAGGCCTGCTCTTGCATACCAACAGTAACGTTCGGCGAAATGACTCGAGTTGCATTAGCCTGATCATCTAGAGCTTTATACTGCGCGCGCATAGCATAAGCGTCGCCGGTCAATTGAGGGCGTTGGCCTATGGCATTTTCCACCTAGATCCAAATTTGTGAGCCGGACAGGGATGGTTGCGTTGCAGCCGGGTTTTTGTCACCTTGAACCATGACTCTGCTATCAGTGTCTCCATTGTACAATATGCTGCAACTTGTGGGTAATGGGTTCGGGTCCCGTTACGCTATGGATTAACTGGGAAGGGAGGACATTTCGCGTTTGCCGTCTGTCATTTATAACAGCTGGCCTTTGCTTTGGACAACAGGCCACTTGAGGTAATAATGGCAATGGCCTAACCGACATGATGAGGAAATCCTCGGACGGTTGACATCATCGATTTCTAGTTGATGAGAAATCTGAGTAATCCGCAAACCTTACTCCGACCTTTCCTCCGTGAGAGTGGCGGTGGTGTGTGTCTGGTAAGTTTCTGAGGGGGTAGTATCAGAGAGCAAACTTGTAAAACAGCTTCGCGGCCCCCACTAGTCTCGTAATAATTCGATGGCTCCTTAGAATCGCTTATAAATGTGGTTCTTTTGATGAGTGATCAAAACCGTGCTGCGTGCTGGTCTATAACAAGCTGGCAGAGTAATAAGGAACCGGGAATAAAACAGATCGACGCTAGTTTCTCGCCCTATCTGCCGTGATGAGTGATCATTGATTTATCAGCCTATTATAGTGGTGGTTTCGCGACGAAACGTAAGATCATATGGGCAGATGGATTAGTCAGATGAGCTCCATGGGCTGATTAAAATGCTAGTTGAACCCCCTCTGTTTCAAATTTGATGATAACATGCCCTCATTGTAAAGTCGATAAAGGCCAAGCAACACCAACACAAATCAAAACTCACATCTGCGTTTCGAGCATGATGCGCGTCGGAATCTTCCCCGCTTCTGGGGGGCTTGGTACCAGCACATATACCAATCTTCTATCTCAAGTTCCCAACAATCAAGTCACGCTCATCAACCGATATCCCGAGAAAGTGCCCAAGAAATATGTCGAAAACGGGGTCACTGTTCGCCAGGCTTCTTATGAATCCAGCGCTGAAGAGCTTCAAGCTGTCTTTACCGGGGTTGATGTCCTCTTCTTGATATCCTTCCCCAGCTCCGTCCACCTATACAGGACCAAAGTTCAAACGAAAGCGCTCGATGCGGCGCAAAAAGCTGGAGTCAAGCATATCTTCTATTCTTCTCTGGCCTTCGCATCAATCAATGCAGAATCTGCGAAGGCAGAAGTCATGGCAGCGCATCTCGACAGCGAAGCGCACCTGAAAGAACTTGCTCGTACCAATTCAGGACTCTCATGGACGAGTATTCGCGAAGGACTCTACAGCGAGTCATTTCCGGTTTATGCTGGGTTCCAAGACTTCAAGAACCCACCGTCTACGATCAGAATTCCGCAAGAAGGAAATGGGTTTGGTGTTAGCTGGGCCAAGCAAGATGAACTGGGAGAAGCGTCTGCACGCCTAATCGCTTCATATGCGAAATCCCCATCGGCATTTAAATACACCAACAAGATTGTTACCTTGTCTGGCCCAAAGTCCTGGACATGGGCCGAGACCGTCGAGGTTCTCTCGCGAGCAACAGGCAAGGACATCAACATCCAAGCAGTCAGCCTCGAGGAGTACAAAAGTCTGCCACAGATCAAGGCGTACTTCGGTACTGAGCAGATAAACACGTTGGACACTGCTTGGCAAGCCATTCGGGCTGGAGAGGCAGCTGGCGTGACCACATCATTGGGAGAGATTCTGGGAAGGGATGCCGAGCCTTTTGAGAAGACTATTGAGGAGTTTGCCAAGTAGCAACGGCCCGAAGACTAATGTATTGTTATATGCGAACTAGGACATTACCTGGCGACTTGGTGGAATACTTACCATAAACAATGAGCTATCTAATTTTGATAAGTTTTATGACGTGGCCAAAAGATATTTTCCCGATTTGGATCAAAGTCTGCACTACGCTACCTCAGCCTGAGACCAAGGAGTTCTTGGAAAGATTTTGACAGCTTCCAGAGATGATGTAGGTAAACAGACTGGAGTCATCGACTCGGACTGCTATAATTCATTGTCCTAATCGGCGTTCCACTGCTGAGCCTCAATGGATCAAGCTTGTATACTGTGGTAAATACCTACTATAAAAAAATTACGTTACAGATCGTCCTCGGCAGATGAATAAGATAACCACGTATGCATGCCCATTCACATAATTATAGCCTGTATTCTCAGCTATGTGCACGTAATGGGAACGGCAGTGCATTTATTGGCTTTAAATCATGAGTTGCAATACTGTACTTGCGTAAATGGCCCGCTTTACTAGTGACATCTCTCAGCCAAGATGGGAACAGGAACGTGTACAGTTTGGCCGTAACGCAGTAGCGTCAGACGTGGCCCGCCCTCGTTCCCTTGTCGGGAGGCACTGTGTCTGTATTGCAAGGCTGGCTTCTCTATATAGAGGGGGGTGGGAGGGACATAGTCAAGTATCGATTGCGTGATAGATATCGAGCTTCCACCAGAGGTAAGCAACTGACTCTTACGAGGCAGTTGTAGGAAGAAGAAGCCTATCGTAATGTCGGTGCGGATTTTATGTGAGGCAGCGTGGGCAGCGTGAGGCAACCCCACTAAAACCAATAAATTTTCTCCCTTTAAATCGTGGCCACCATCAACTAAGTTAATTAACTCTCACGACAGCGACCAAAATCTCGCCGCCACCACTGCGCAGAGTACTAGCATCCGCCTCGATTAAACATGCAGCGATCCAAGAGTAATAACATGATCAGTGCAAATGTTTCGTCTGCGGAACGAATATCGAAGCGTATTACTAAGGTACCCGTTTCTGAGGTGGGTTTGAGAGAACTCAGACGGTATACTCTTGGCCAGCGGGATCTTGAGAGATTATAGCACCGAAGGCTACAATTACGGCTAGCACAGCGAGCCTATCGCTACCGCAAGGAGACAATAACCTTGTCTTTGCAGTACCGACTCGAAAATCTGCAGACACAGATTCAGAATCTACATCGGACACTTCAAGCATTGGCTCTGCAGACAGAAGACAGAAGAGTGTGAGAAAGAAGTTTTTAGTGAGGTTGGCCCTGGGGGACGAAGGGGGCGAGGGTGACGTTGTTTGAGTTTTCCATGTTGTTGTGCCTTACGTAGCCGAGTTCGTCTCATTTGTAACCTATCATTCTCGAGCGACCATTCAAGGGTTGAAACTAGTCGGCGCTCTGGTGGTGGTCTGGTTGCTTGCTAGGCCGTGGATATAACTCTTGTGACCCCAAGAAACACGGTTGGGCGCAGCCTACCGAGATGGTAAAAGCTCCAGGCATCAAGCGGACGTTTATTGCATCGTCTCATCACTAGAGAAACTAGTAAATGCAGAAGCAACGCGTCGCTTGAGGCAAACCAGCGAGTGACATGGGATGCGAGCTTCAGGTTTTGAGGGGGGTTCAAGGTCCCCGGGGGTTTCAAGGTTTGGGGGGGCCTTCAAACTGTTAGGATTGTGCCGTTTCCTTCCGGTGCGGCCCAACTTAGTCAGCTATAACGAAGTAGTCCCCCAATAGTAACGCAGTGTTCTTCCCTGACGGTATGCTGCTCCTCAGGTCATGTGTTTAGCTATTGTTGCCACGTGATCTGCCTTCTGGGCGCGTAGGCCATATTCACGTATTTTGGACTCATGACGATATTAACATTCTCTGTACTAAAAATATCGGTGCAATATGATGAACATCGCGCGCTTTCTACCCAGACGTATTGTTCCCTTGAGAAGTTCTCATGTTTTCCACTGGTTCATGTCTACCAATGCCGACAAGAATCCGATGGACCAGGCTCCTTATATTTCCCCCGTTGATATCCTCTGAATCACAACACTCCTTAAACACTCCTTGAACCCGTCTTAAGATTTACATGGTTGATTCCTTGACCAAGCCAAGCTGTTGATCCATCAATTCATGAATCATTTGCTCCCAGGAGCGCCATTTCATCCCAAGTTCTTGCTCTGCTTTGGTGTTGTCGTAGGGCATTGTTCCCCCCTCAACCTCCATACTAATCTTTGTACCGACATTAGAATAGTCCCTGTGCACGATTTGAGCGACCTCCTTCCAAGTTATTGGTTTGCCGGCCAGCAGGTACTTTGAACCATCCGGGATATCCGGATTCAGGGCTTTGATGTGTGCTTCGGCAACATCCTGGATATGCACTCCAGCAACCGAACGGCCGAAAGTGCCCGTCATGATAGGCTTCCAGAGAACACTGTTGGATCCAATTTCGTCTGGAGATGACTGGACTAGGTTATGCCCCAGCACGAAGGCTGGATGAAGTGACACCAATGAATAGTGGGGTTTTTCGTTTTGCCAGAAGCTCCAAGCTGCGTTGTTGGACAGCAGCTTTGATGCGTGGTATAGTCTGAAAGCCGTGGCATCAGAGTCGGTGGGAACCTCGAAGCTTGCATTCTCGTCCACGCTCAAGTCCCAATCATTGTCCTCTGTAAAAAGAAGGAAAATGTAAAGTCAGCTGATGTCGAGAATTATCAAACCAGAGTGACCTACCTTTCACAATACCGCCTGCAGGCACTCCAGTGAGCGGAACCAGAGCAGCTCTGGACGATGTCACGACGACTTTCTTGATGCTTGCGACGCTGGCAGCTTCCTTCAGCAAGACAGTTGTTCCTTTCACAGCCGGGATGAAATAGTCCTTCTTGTCTGTGCCTCGAGGGATAGCGGAGGCCAGGTGCAGAATGTAGTCGACTCCGTTTAACTTTCCTTGGAAAGCTGTTTCCTCTGTCAGATCTGGTATGGTAACATATTCAACCTGCTCGCTATACTTCGATAGCAGGGCTTGGAGCTTTTCTGACGCCTTTCGTACGCATACTCGTAGTCGGTAACCTGCCTCGAGAGCAGCGAGAGCCGTGGCACTACCGACGAAGCCCGTGGCACCAGTGATAAAAATTAATTCCCCTGCCATGATACAAGAAGACTGAATGGATGTCCGGGGAGTTGTGAGTCGCGATTGGAGCACTGGGAACATACCTATATATGTCCGCTATGGGATTCTCTCCGCTTCGCTTTGCACATTACAAATGAGTTTACTAATCATAGCCGAGGCTCTTACCGATCAGGTTGATGTTACGCCGATTCTCTGTTTAAAAGAAGAATACCGATAATATTGGTTTACAATCTATTCGCAGAGTGCATTTTGAAGTTTCGTCATATAACGTTAAAAACATAGGTCGATTTTTTTTATTCAAACACTTCCCTCCCTGTCTTCTCTACGTTCAACTCTGCGAACAAGAAAGGCAGACATCCAGACTATGCTGCAAGGCGGAGGCTGTCTCCTCCCCCTACCTCTGAATAACTGTTGACGCCGGGAAACGATGTAGGGCCACACTCCTTAGTTTAAAAAGATCCGAAGGATGGAAACTAAAGGGTATGAAGGCAGGTACCACCGTTACAGCGCTTTTCTTTTCTCTCTTCTCTCCCGTCTTAGCCTCTCAGTGTTCGCCGCTGAACGAATTCGTTCCCCCGAAAACCAGAATTTCCCGCAGACCATATTGGTCGGAACTTGCTAGATCTCATGTGGATCAGGAATCTAGTAAACTGCGATTATAAATACGGACCCGGAACTCGGGTATTAGTGTTTGGATTCTCCACTTCCCTTCAGGTTTAGCACCTGATATCCCCAAATCATAACGTGGCGTACATTATAGTGGGGGCAATATGTATGCAGCGTAGAAGCGGTCAACTTAAAGTCAACCCTTGGTCACGCTCGTACCCACCGGCCGAAACGGGCTTAGTGCGGGAGGTGGTCTGTTACGATTACAAATCGCGCACATCATTAACTAGTCAACTTGACTCTCACGAAAGGTACGAATATTCGCCACGATCATTGCAGAGATACTAGCATCCGCACCGAGTGAAAATGCAGCGATCAAGGAGAAGTATCATGAGCAGTGCAAGTGTTTCGTCTACGGAACGAACACCGAAGCGTACTACTAAGGTACCCGTTTCTGAGGTGGGTTTATTACGACTCAGCATGTATACTCTTGGCAGAGGGGATTCTGAGAGATTATAGCACCGAAGGCTACAATTACGACTAGCACAGCGAGCCTATCGCTACCGCAAGGACACAATAACCTTGTCTTTGCAGCACCGACTTGAATATCTGCAGACACAGATTCAGAATCTACATCGGACGTTCCAAGCATACAACTGTCAAATAGAAAGATCCGGTGTATTATCTTTGGAACCGGCTCTTGAAGGAACGCTGCAACAATTGCGCACGCAGATTCTTGCAATCTCTGCTGCTGAAAATTCGAGTAATGAGGGCAGCAGTACAATTCAAATGAATGAAATCGCATCGACTATGACCCAAGCGAGGCAACAGCAGACGCACTCACAGGAGTCAGAAGACGACTTTGGGTCGACCATATCAAGACCAGTCAATGGGGCCTTCCATTTAGCTAGTCCAATCTCCTCGTCTAACAGTGCCGACCACCAGGAAAACAACCCACGGGGCAAAACGTCAGCCCACAGTTATTCATCCTTTCCAACATCCAGCCTGCCTATTGTCAACCGTCCAGAACTAGTGCCATGCGCTATAGATGATGGTGCTTTCCTTAAGATTCTGCACCGCTCACATCTCTTATCTTCTTCTACTGCTTCTTTCCGCGAGACATCCTTTGAACGCCGGTTGCATCGAGCCTGTCTGAAAAACGGATATAACTTGTTGGCAGATCCAACCTCTGATCCAGACATTGTGAACCGGGTGTTCAGGCTCACGTTAACTCTGTCCACCCGAGATTCTATAGTCCAAAAGATGAAAGGAATCCTAGAAAGTGGCTTAGACGAAGCTCCAGAGATATGGGATATGCCCTTCTACTTGCTAGGGGGCGCTGGGACTCACTATCCTCGAAGGGATCGCACAGGAAAGCCTATCCTTCCTCCGAATGCCTTACCGACAAGTCAACTTGTTAGTGCTTTTGTGCATCAAAGAACAGAGCCACAATCCTTCCAGAGCGACCATGACCTTCTGGCCGATTTTGGCCTCAATGGCGAGTGGCTTGATTCACATGACGTGGAAGGCTATCTTGAGGAGAAAGGTATCTTTTTAAGTGCAGATACTGCATTTTGCAGGGTTCCCGCCCGCGCATTCTCAATGGATCCCCGGCATTCCAATGTAACAGGTGCCAATGCTCAACACGTCATGGGCATGGACGAATCAGCCCATGGTTATATGCATCCTTATAATGCGGATCTTATGGAAATCCAGGCAGGAGGATGGGTATCAGACACACAGGTACTTTTCCGTTTGCCAATAAAGTATGAATGGCTGACTAATATCAAAAACTGGCGCAGAGTATGGATCTTCGAAAATATACCGGTCCAAGCGGTTCTTGGGTCCTGGATGTAGGACTATTTATTGACTGTATGCACTTAGTGAGCCCATATCGGTTGCTATTGCCCTTCTAACAGGAACAGATCTTATTCATTCCAGCATTTGCCTCGGTCGCTGCCCTGGGTTTCGCCGAGAAGATATCGAGCACACGTTTCGCCTCGCATTGAGTAGAAACTTCTTGGACTCTTCGATGTGATTGATGCGTTCATATTCACAGAGATAAGGCAGTGCCCACGGGATGTGCGCACATCAAACTTGCTGTATATGTACCAGTCTTCGGCTAGTCTGTGCTGGCGGTTAATTGGGACGTTGCGAAGCAAATTTAATGGTTTGGTTTTTACTGTGATATGCTTTGATTTCTCAACCAAAGTCTAATTGCCTGGAAATAAACGCCTGTTGTAAATCACTTTGCGCTTTCAGAGCGCCAAACCTCTCCGCAGACTCCACCACCCTTGAATTATTTCACACCGCTTTTGGGTCTCCTTTTATTCTTGTCATTCGGATGGAGTCTTTTCCATGATAAAGCCAAGGAGAGATCCAGGATCAACTAGTGGTGCCATTGAGCGGAAATTTCAAGACCGGGGGAACGAAAAAGAGAAAACTATCCGGTAGAATGGTTGTCATCATGTCTCCCAATAAGAAACTATTATCTACTCATCCCGATCTAGTTCTCGTCAAATCCTTAGAACAGGCTATACATCCCTTCATCGTCCCGTTCACTACTATATCCTCTAATCTAGGTTTTTTATTTGCAATTGAGATTCCCAGATCCTGTCATTGTGCTGCCTAACTGTGAGGGGAGAACAGTTTACCATATTGAGTTTTATAAACTTTGCTATTTAAGTGTGCATATAGGTTGCTGCAGGCTGACCTGAACCCATTGTACGAGTTTCGTGGATTTGGCTTTGGCTCTGGGTTCATATCGAGCTTGCCGACAGTATCTACTTTCAATCCTGTCGGTGGGAGACAATAAGTGACCCACAACCTATCAGAATAGAGACCGATATGATCTCGCTCGAAATGAGGCCTGGAGTTCCTTTCAATTGGGCTACTTACGGCGCCATTATCGAGTAAATAGACAGCAGAGTTGAATGAGATGGAAGGTGAAAGTGTTTTATGGGCAATGTCTTGGCTTCAAACACAACGTAGTATTAGATCCATTTCACCACACCTGCTCGAAATAATTACTGCAGTGATAACGAAGGGTACAGTAACTTCCCTTTTCAGCTTACTTTAGGCCCTGCTATTGGTGCAATCGCTGCTGGCAATACTGTTGTTATCAAACCATCTGAAAATGCCCCTCACAGCGCCGTTATCATACAGAAGATCTGCGACGCGTCTCTTGACCCCCTTTGCTACTCCATTGTCCAGGGCGGTGTACCTGAGACTCAGGCTCTTTTGTCCGAGCGCTGGGACAAGATTTTCTTTACAGGCGGTGCTAATGTTGGCCGTATTATCGCTAAGGCAGCGGCGCCTCATTTGACTCCCGTGGTCCTTGAACTAGGCGGTATTAACCCGGCCATAGTCAGCAAAACGGCTAACCCGCGTTTAGTCGCGCGTCGTATGCTTTGGGGCAAAACCGTGAACGCTGGTCAACTATGCACTTCGCAGAATTACCTCCTTGTCGATCAGAGTATCGTGCCTCAGGTAGTGGAGGAGTTCAAGAAGGCTTATAAGATCTTCCACCCTAATGGTGCTAAGCAATCTCCGGACTACTCACGCATCATCAATAAGGGTCATTTCCAGCGCCTCAAGTCTATGCTCGACAACAGCAAGGGCGAGATTCTGCATGGAGGCACCTTAGACGAGGAAGATCTCTTCATTGAGCCCACGGTTGTGCAGGTAAATTCTATTGAGGACTCACTTTGCACAGAGGAAAGCTTTGGCCCTTTCATTCCAATTCTACCCGTCCAGAACTTAGACGAGGCTATTAGCCTCGCGGACAAGGTGCAGAGTACTCCGCTTGGTCTCTATCCCTTCGGCTCTAAGACAGATGCGGCTAAAAGTATCTCCAAGTTTACCTGACGCAGCCACCACGCCTTTCTAACAAATTTAATATCTAGTTATTTCGTCCACTCGATCCGGGAGTGTCTCTTGCAATGACGCCGCCCTCCATATACCTACCTTAGCCTTCGGCGGTGTCGGCGAAAGCGGCCATGGCGCATACCGCGGCCGTGCCAGTTTCGATATTTGGGTGCACCGACGGCCTATAACAAGCAGCCCAAGCTGGCTCGAATCTATGCTTGCCGTCCGCTACCCGCCATATGTTGGTAAGCTTAGCAAAGTCAAGGCTGCCAACAACCTAGTGCCGGATTTTGACCGCCAGGGTCAAAAGCTGACGCCGGGTTGGTTACGCTATATTTTAACTCTGGGTGGTGGAAGCGGGAAGGCCGGTGCAGGACGTGCTCTCATTATCGCTGCAAGTGAGTAGAGCCCGTGCCTCTTTGTTCTAAAGTTATTGTCCCAAAATCCCATTTTCTGGACGTTATTTCAACTCTGTGTCTAACTCTGTGTGTTTCTTTTTCGAGTACCTCATATCCTTGTTCCCCTCTGTTTGGTGACGAAGGCGGCATGAAAGCTAGAGTGGAAACTCTAGCCTCACTGTCGATGTTGTCCCTACTCCTCAGATATATGCGCTATTCAGATATATGCACTATGTTCTTGTTCTAGCTTTTCGCGAGCTTCGTATTTGCTATGATATGGATAGTAGTGACCTTTGACATGATTCTGATTCGACTCTCTCAGTGTTTTTCTGTTGTCGTCATTATGTCTCTCCAGCCTGCTCGTTTTTTTACCGTTCGCCCTTTCCCATTCCCTCAATTTTCATCGATTCCTGGGGACAAGCGAAAAATCTCGGTCTCCGCTTTTGTGCTTCGCTATGATCGAAGCTGCTTCCTTGTGGGTATTCACGCCCTCCCTGCCCCTTTACATATCTTTTTTCATCTATCAAATCATTTCTGACCTCATTCTATAGTCGCCTATCTCGTTGTGCAAATTCTTGGGGGTGGTTATTCAACCGTGAGCCGGATGGATGTGCTTAAATAACAAGTGGTCATTCTTTTTTGGAATTTGAAATCTATTCTCTTTCCTCATGCTTATCAGTACCTAGCAATTCAACGAGTCGAATATCTTGTGAATACTGTCCAAATTATCCAGCCACGGGCCAAAATGCACTTTCCCTTGATATTTACAGTCCTTCATCTTTACAGTGGTATAGAAATAAATGGCATTTTTTCCGTTGCCTTATTCTATCCATATCAATCGACCTTTTCTTAATGCCTACTCTCGGTGTATTCGTCTATACCTTCATTGTAGGCCTGAGAACATTTTCCAGATAACATTTGCTATCAGAAAGCAAGTTGAATTTCGCGAACAGGACTTCACTCTCATCCGAGGCACGTCCGAGGCACTACGAGCAACGGCGATCTCCCTACGCGTAAATTAGATTATCATGTGACTAGGGTTTGAAAATCTCTCTGTTTCCTGGCATGGAAGGCAATAACGGTCGGCACTGTAACCCACGGAAACGCAGTGAGGAGTGTCTTAGCGTCTTGCCAGCTCATAACTTTGAGTCTTCTGCAACGTGCATGTTGCCGTTGAAACCCACACAGGATGCTTCCATAGGCTTGAAATGGCTGCTCCTATGAAAAGCAACCAGAGTAACGTCTCCCGCCCATCCAGGTCAGCGCTGAAAGCTTGCCGAGCTTCTGAAACCAGCATTTCTGCTAAAAGATTATTCTGGGCAACTCGATCATCCCACCCTGCAGGAATGTCACCAAGAAAGCAGCCAAGCCTAGGTGTACCTTGTTCTAAAGCCGCGAGATCCCGCGGATAGACCTAGTGGCCTAAGGTTGACCAGAGGGTAGCCGAGAAAGATAATATCCTGGTACAGCTCAACAGCGTCCATTTTCGGCGCATTGCCAAGTATCGCGCTATTGAGCAACGATGCCAGAAACAACACTTCGACGAACAGATCTCGATAGTTGGCTGGCAGTGCCCTGGCTGGGTATTGCCCGAGGGCTTGAGGTAGGATGGAGTCATCTGACTGCAGGCACATGCTGGGGAATCGTGATAGGGGTTTGTATCCATTTTCGGCCTCTTGAAGCGTAAACACCGTGGGTGAGCCTAATTGTAACGAGTGCTCAAGATCGATTCTCAAGGAAGATTAGTATAAACACGATTGGTGCGTTCGGCTGCGGGGGCGTAAGGCAGCATTTTAGCCCTAAGCCAGAAGGGCTTCCAGTCAGGTTTGATACCCCACAACGCAACTGAGATATCTGCCACAGGCCCTGCACGTGAGCAGAACCCTGTTTGAATCGGTTCTGGTGGTGCTCATACTGGGCCATGCTGATCACGGCCGCGATGGTGGAGTCAGTGATCGCACTTTTTAACGAGAGTTTCTGGTTCACCAGGCCGGCTGTACGCGATGCATGACGCAGTGCCTGTAACTTACTCTCCAATCTACCCACTATTTTATCCAGGCAGAAGAGAGCCGTCACCATCGAGCTATGGAAAGCTGTAATCGAGTCAACCGATGTCTTCCACGGAAAGATTTCCATTGGGGTGTAGAGGCTTCGTCAACAAGCATGTATTGTACACACGCTGGGACGCCAAGACCTCCATAGTGGAGACGTCATCGCATCGCGCATATGGAGGAGATAACTTGGAATTTCCCGTTACTCGTCAATATCCACATTCAGACCTAACTATGCGATACGATAGTGATATTTTGAGCGTGTGCGATCTCACCTTTCTTCACAAGCCCTTTGGGCTCACCCGGTAAGAGGTCAGGGCAAAACAACCCATCATCGGTCGGGCGCTCGATCTCATCATATCTTTCTTTTCTTTCGACTGACGTTCCACCCATTATCAATGGGACTCGAAATTCGGTCGTGGTGTCCGTCAACACCTCTTTCCTGGACATGCGTGAGATCTTCCTGCCCTTGTTTCTCCCCAAGGCTGCATGCCTGCGGATCCGCTTCCTCGTAGCATCATTGTGAACGTCATCATCGTTGATGCATTGGAATGGGATACTGAAAGTTGCGCCGTTGCCGGACGGTACAAGAAGGTGAATGGCCGCAGTGGCGCGATCGCTGATGCGTTCCTCTCGAATCGGCAATGACTAAGCAGTAGTGGTTGAACCCAAGGCACCTTCGGGAGCTCAGCCTCACGGGAACGGCATGCTGGCTGACCCAACCCTACAGTACAAGCCACAACTACAAACAGCGTAAGTTGGTGAGGCTGTCAAACAGTTTACAGTGATTGCCTTCAGAGACGGCATAATTACGGCATAATTACATCCCGATAGCTTTGATAACTACACTTTGGGGTATCACTACATAGTAGATAACGATACGCGAGCAGGCAGAAATATATAATATCCAACACTCGACTAGACGAAATTACTATAAGCGACTCCTGGGCGCTCAATTGGCGGAAACACAAAAAGTTCTAACATGCCGAACAAGTCTATAAATCTAGAACCGAACAATAACCACTCATATTCCATGCTTGAATCTCCTGCTCAGCTTTGCGCTTCTCCTCTGATTTGGAAGGCGGCTTGTCCCTGCCTTTCGACTTCCTTTTCCTCATGGAATCTTCCTTCGCCACCGTCATATCTCGTTTCTGCTGCGCCTCAACGATATCTTCGTAGCTCATCACTTTCGCGTGTCCTATAACTGCCGCGCCACTAGATTTTCGGCAGGTCTTTTCATTATTCTGCTCAAATAGGATTCGGTTCTCCTCCAGCAACAAGGCGCGCTCCGCAAAGACCTTTTCGGCCGCGTGGCTGAGTGTCCGCAGGCGATTCTTGCACACACTATCTAGATTCCACGTATCTTTCTCTACCTCGCTACGAAGCAAAGCGTACTGGTCAGAGGTATTTGGAGTGTGACAGATGTTAAAGGACACGGTCGGATGGACCACGGGGATCGTGGTCTGTACCTCGGTTCGTGGCGCTGGAAACTCTCGGAGGACGCGAGATGGATCGAATGGAAAGAGGCCGCTTTTCGACCAGGCGGATCGTATATTCCGGGGTGTAAATGCTTCATTTCGGGCGCGATCATAAAGATAAGTGAAGTGTGGCTTGCCGATGGTTTTCACACCAGCCCGGCATGCCTGCTCAACCTGTGCCCGATATGCCGTTTTCAGAGGACCGAAGACGCCCACATCACACGGCTGCAGTTTGTGAGACGTATGAGAGGGGAGACGACACAGGATTATACGGTTAGCAAAGCAAAATTTCATGACCTCCAGAGACTCATGAGTGCCAAAACCATCGCAGATTAAGAGTCGTGGCCGATCGCCTGCTCGATCTCGAGTCTGCGGATCGAACACATGTTCCACCTAGTACAGTCTGATGTCTTTGTTCGTATAGCCTGTTTTGGAGCAGGCAAAATGCCATCCGGGGGTGGCGTGAGTGGTCCACGAACTGCGGTTGGTGGCGGCCGGCCAGATAATGAGAGGATGGAGGCACCGGCCATCGGCGGAAATGCATTCAATTGCTGTAACTAGCGTCCGCTTCATTGTGGTCCCTCGATGCTTTCTCAAATCGTCTCTGTGGACAAGGACTTTGAGAGATTTGAGAACGCTGAGAAGAACTCCCGTCTCGTCCATATTATATACATTTTCCGGGAGAATGGCGGGATCGACTAGCTCTCGGCCAATGATGGCAAACCAATGTCGGACTTTGTCTTCGATCTGCCGGTCATCTCGCTTCCAATCGATCGCTCGTAACCGTCGCGCTTTCAACTGCGGGTGGCGTAGGTAAAACTCCTGGGGCCAATTCTTTCCCGGAGGTCGGATCTCAAGGCGGGGATCTGTGATCTGGAAAGTCGAGGATCGTTGGCGCGCGATGACCAGAGCGAGCGATCGTAGAAACCTGACTGGAAGCGGATAGCCATTGTCCGCTAACCGCAGCACATATTCTACCAGTGCTTGCTCCTCTTGCGCGGTAAGGTACTGCTGCTTGGCGGCTTTATCGGCAATAGAAGGCTTGTTATTGGCTCGACGCCACAAGGTAGATGCGGGGATCCCGGTCGATCTCGACCTGGTTGCGTACGAAGTAAGTCTTACCTATCTTACTTTGGAGACGAAGCGCTAGTCACTGACTAGTATATGGGCTCCTAAGAGTAGCACCAAACTCTGTCCTTCGCTACTCAAGCTGATGACCTTTTCCTTTATATGTCGGCGTTCTTTCTTTTTGAAGAGGTCTACTGGGTGGAGTTTAGGCTTGGAAGGTTTCATCAGTTAACCGGCGAGACGGTGGGTGAGCATCTATTCTTCCTTCCCCGTGTTGAAACGGCCATGGGGAATCTACGCCCGGTGCGTGGACAGACCCTGGACATCATATCCCTAGCTACTCTTGGAGCGACACCTTTCTGCTTCCGACTATCTTTGTGGCCGCGCACAGAACCTCTACCGTATTCTGGTCACTCTACCCTACCCCCGCTAGCGACACTACCCACGACGCTATCCCTGGATCCGTCGTTCTTTGTACATAATCTCCTGGAAAACTATAAATAAATGCGATGCAACTCGCTCGACAGTATTTGTGTTTCTATTGTTTGCCCGAACAACGTAAGATCGTCAGTAGTCACACGTAATGGCAATGTGCTTTGTACAACGTTCTCAAAATGAAACAAAACTCAGTCAAAAGATTGACGTTACGTTTGAGGGGTGTGTCGGGGTTCGAATACGAATATCGAGCTTAGAAACTACTCGATCGGGGTCGTAAGATCGTGACACCTTCGGACCCTCCGGGGCGCAGTGGGGAAGGGAATTTAAAATTGAGGAAAAGCTCCCACCTGCTCTAACTGCATGCAAACTAAAATATAGGAATAGGGTTACACCAAGCTTTGACTAAATACTTTAATGCAGACCGCTCTTCAAGACACTAGCTGATCCTACACAATATGCGTCCATACCCAACTTACCTATCAATAACTAGGAACACTTCGAGTCAGGCTCTCCTAATAGTAACTAATAGGAAGCCAGAAAACTTTAAATTTCTGTCCTTTTGTCCAATGGGAATGAAGATACAGCCCAGTGCCTCGCTCAGTTAAATTCTTGTCGGGTTTTGCGAGCGGACGTTAATGCGCAATACTGGTAAGTGGTCTTTTGATATACTCCAGAGTAAACAACCGCATTCTCGAGAAGTAGAGACATGTATGCTTGTTTCTCTTCCTCGTTCATGGCAGAGTGGCAATTAGGTGAAAGTATGCGACTGTACTCCGATCAATTCAGTTTCCCTGAGACGAACCAGCGCCAAGGGGGATGTGGCAGGGCACTCTGCGTGATAACCTCAGAGCCAAAGCTTTAGTCAACCAGGCTTAATTTCGGGCTCCCTGTTAAGCTGTGGAATGGGAATCCTTTCAAGCCGAAGCGCCGGCCAATTCGAGATTGAAAACGGACGTGGACGCACCGTCGCTGCCGTTAAACCGCTGGGTCAAATGAGACACGGGCGCAGTTTGTCCCAATGCAGAGAAAACTCCCGAGCACAAGCACTGACAGGGCGTGGGCCCATACCGGAAGTTTAATCAAATGTCGATAAGAGTGGGGCTCTGGTGGCTCCCCAGAGGACTCTTATCTCTCCGGGATGAATATTGTTTTCCTCATGCGATTTAGGTAGCCACCCCACCAATCATACAGTCGTACTTCTTGGGAAATTGTTCAAAATCATTGGTTTGCCACGACTCCTTTCTCCACCTAGGAGTAGTTCGGCTCCGTGCTTTCATCATATCAACCTAATTTGGCTAATAGAAAGTAAAGCTCGCATAGTCCGCGGATAACATCAATCAATCAACCGAGGCTTCCGTGCGCTGGACAAACGTCGACTGGTGTATGCGGTCCGTAAATGAGTCCAAGGTTGAAATGTCAATGTAGTGATAGTGTACAATAAGATATTGTTGATGCCAAGGTGAAAGTAGGGTGACCGAAAACAAAGGGGCCGAGGTGTGAACATCTCTTAGTAGGATGTGAAGGATATTAGGAATTGCACGGACCTTGGAACGAGAATGAGCTCACAGCCAATCAGGTTTAAAATGGCCGTGCCTCTTTTACTCACGGAGACGGGTGTCAAGGGGTAGGGTACCCTTTTTGGAATATTTTCAGAATTTAACTAGTTCATTAAATCGACGAGTTTAATCGGACTTTCACCACCATCATTTGTTCTTCGCGTTGACCCCTCTGCAGAACAAATAACGGGTCACGTCATTTTGCGCAGCGCAGAGGCAAGTCCAAGACGTTCCCTGCAGGCACTGTCTCCTAGAGTTATTTTCTGCCGCAGCCTACGCGTTCTAATAAGAAAGTGGCCGATTCAGAAACTGGGCACACAACTGTTTCCTTCTACGTATTATTCTCTCACCATTTGCCATAATCCTAGTCTCGGCCTCATGTATCTAGATTGCCTACTCAGGACTCTGTAAGTCCTGTCCGGATTCATGCCTGGCCGCCATTTATTCGGAGAGGTGCAGACTCCCCGTGACATGGTCCACCTGCACGGCCAGCCCCAAGGCAGTAGTGAGATCATGGCGTGAACTTCCTGATGGTGACTCGGCTGGGGAACTTCGGATGTGATTTTCGAACCAAGTTAGCGTAGATGGGCTTGGACCACACCAACAAGTCCCCGACTAATTCGTGGCGCCTAACCTGGTCGCCGCGCGGGACAGAGTTTCCCCTGGTTTTCGTTCATGGCTCTGCGACGCACCAAAAGAGGGGGATTAGGGACTAAACCAAGCAAACGCCAGTCAACACGCCTCCTTTATCTATACACCTTCGCATCGCGGAAGACCGCAACTTTCCGCCATGGTACGGCATGTCAGGGTTCAAATATCTGAAATCTCTGGCATATTGCCGATACTCCTGATCATCCGGCACTCCAGCTCTGTCCCTGGCAGTAATGCTTGTGCAAAGCTTGGCCCTCGCATCTTTCCCGTGGCTTACCGGGGGCGCTTTTAGCCCCAGCGCCAGAGTAACATCGCATCGACATCCCTTTTGAAAGACCTTCAGCGTTGTTTTCGAGGCAATAGCCAACCGTTGCCCAGTTGGCCCCGGCCCATCTGAGCATGGTCATATCCGCTAAACTTTTCCATTTCGGGCTGGCTTCTGTCGTATTATCAAACTGAGGGCTGCCTTATCACAGTTTAGGCCTGGCAGCTCCGTCGGACATCCGCGATATCTACAACATCGGTCCCCAGCGGTCGAAAATAAATGGCGGCGCTAACAGTGCCATGTGGCTAGCCCGATGTGCCTTGCCGAACGTGGGGAGCTAACCTTCTCGTCACGGCTTGAACAAGCCTTTTACAAGTATAGCAGGTTAGCATTCGCAGGTCTTTTTGTCCGATAACGACCATGCATATGGCGGGGTACGCATTGCCAGTGGAATCCCGAATCTTCATCCTCCTTTTTGCTCGTTGTTTTTGATAGACGGGCATGGCTGTGTCCACGAGATGACACCCCTACTCATAGGCCTACCGGGCTGGCCTATTGTGTATAGCTTTATTAAGATATTATGCGGATTATCTGGTTACCAGGTAGGGTTGCATGCTACGTTTTTCGATGCTAATAAATTAATATTTGCCGGATTTCGTCAACGCTGGCACTATCGTCGTGACCCATCCATAAGAGCCGGATTCCGTAAAACACAATCTGCGCCGAACCCTACGTGCCAGCCCACAATATAGTGCTGAAGCTAGTTCGTCCAAGCTCTCGGTCTCCGACGGCGTGACATTCCTCATCGCATAGGCCTGGATCTTCCGCCATCCATGAGCCTATGGTCTTCCTGTAATGATGTTTATCGACCTGATAGCCCCGTGCCGCCAGGCTCCCGGTAATGAATTGGACATGATGAATATGCTGGATACTCTTCCATCATGTTGTCCTATTTGGGTGTTAGTAAACTGGGAAGTAACCATGATATCTATATAAGACAGACGATTCTCTTGCTTTCCTCTTCTTCGCACCATCACTTCCCAAGATTCTCTGCCTCTAACCTAGACTCTACCTGTCTCGACTCTGATTTCCATTTGTTCTAGCAGATTGCAACTATGAAGTACTCTACTGGCGTCATCAGCACCTCACTCCTTGCGACTGCAGCCATTGCGGCTCCCTTAACTGCCCAGCGTCAGGCGCGTCATGAGGCTCGTCAGCTTGCTCGCGTTAACGGCCGAGAAAGCCACCCGCCTTATAAGCCAGGTACGAATGAGATTCTTCACCTGAACAAGACCTCGCATGAGCAATATAGCTCCAACTGGGCTGGTGCTGTGCTTATCGGCACTGGTTACACCGCTGTCACGGCGGAGTTCACTGTGCCTACCCCCAAGGCGCCTTCCGGGGGTTCCTCGAAGACTCAATACTGTGCCTCCGCTTGGGTTGGCATTGATGGAGATACCTGCGGCTCTGCTATTCTGCAGACTGGTGTCGATTTCTGCGTGCAGGGCGGCTCTGTCTCATATGACGCTTGGTATGAGTGGTATCCCGATTATGCCTACGATTTCAGCGGTATCAGCATTGCCGCTGGAAACGTGATCAAGGTGACCGTGGATGCTACTTCTACAACTGCTGGCACCGCTACTATTGAGAACGTTTCCACTGGCAAATCTGTGACCCACACATTCACCGGTGGCGTTGATGGTACTCTTTGCGAGTACAACGCCGAGTGGATTGTCGAGGACTTTGAATCCGGCAATTCTCTCGTTCCATTTGCCAACTTTGGAACTGTGACCTTCTCGGGCGCTGAGGCTACGGGTGGCGGCTCCACCGTTGGTCCATCTAGTGCCACCCTCATTGATATCGAGCAAAACAACCAAGTTCTCACTTCTAGCTCTGTCACATCCAACAGTGTGACCGTCAAATATGTCTAGGTGTTGAGGTCTATTAAGGCTTCCAAGTGCAGGAAGCCGCGAAAGAAAGATCTAGACCAAGAGCTACGATGTTGGTGGTAGTGCCGGGTATATTGACGAGTGAGAGACATTTAGGGTATTTGCAAGTCTTACATTTCTGATCTAAATATATTATACTCTATCGAGATAAGGTTCCTCCTTAATAGGCGGATATATAATTCCTGGTTGTAACATGCTATGAGCATTATACATATAGAGCGATCATTAATTATCAATCAACGCGATATCTAGTGTTAGCGATCGACGAAACCCTAGCTCGTGAGCCTTGGTAGCCGTAACGGTATATATGGTTATCCTAGAAACTAGGCTTAGTTTCCTAATGTAGGCTTTCTAGCATGATCTAGGCTTTCGGTCCTATCTCTGCCTAGGAAATCACAATCGTCAACCTGGATCTAGGGCTATTTTCTTCGTGTCTATACCGCTAGGTGGCAGAAATCCAGTAAAGGGAATATTGTTTAGCTGCGAGTACACTAGAAAGATATAACATTTAGCAGCGCGGGGCTAGGGATAGAAAGAGTTGACTCTAGCGAGACCAAAGGGTACTTGGCACAACAGGCCATCCGCAGGTACACTAACCGATTTCTTTAAGAGTGATCGGAGGAACCAGAACAATCACTGGAGCCGCAACGACCTATACGCAAAATTCGAGCGAATTCATCTGGGGCACATAGAGTGAATACTCTCCTCCTGTGACGGACATCTTTGGGGGCTCAACAACAGTGATTGGTGGGACAACTTTGTCTCCTGTCACCACCACAATCACGCCTCATCCCTATCCCACGACTGTTCCATCAACCACGGATCCTGCTTTGAACATGAAATCAACATCGTTGACATCAGGCAAAACTACCGAGCCCAGTGGAACCGGCACTCCAGGTCGCGGCACATCATGTGAGTTCACCCCATTTCTATTGTATTGCCTGTTGATGGCAGTTGGAAGTTCAAGTCAAATAATTTAGTAATGCACTTCACTGACTTTGCGAAGGTGAGCCTTTCTGTGATTCAAACTGCCCAGCATGCCCCCCTGGGTTCGGTATCGATACCAGCAGTGGCGATGGCGGTAGCGGCGGAGGTAGCAATGGAGACGGTAGCAGCTCTGCTAGCGATTCGACTACGTCAACTTCCACCTCGACTTCAACCGAGTCGAGCACGAAGACAGCCGCTGGTGGTGCTGATTTCACTGAATGTAGCTTCCCCACTACAACAGAAGGTAGTAGTGTCCTTGATGCCTTGAGCTCCTCTCTAAGTTCCATCTGGTACTCCGAAATTGCTACTATAGCGACATCGACGTCGACTACCGAGTCAAGCACAACAACCTCGGGACCTACCAGCACTACAAGCAAGAGCTCCACTACCACAGCTCCACCCGCAACTACGCTGGGCGTTGAAGTGTATGTAGTTCTGGACGACCCATTTGGCGGCTTTGATAACTACTGGGGCGCCATCGATTACACATTGCCTAACCCAGGAAAGTAGGATTGCGACACCATGGAGGCTAACACCAAGACCATGCCCGGGAACGATGGTCTGTATTCTTACCCTGCAACGTGGACATTCACGGCTCCAATCCGCGGCTACACCTCCTGTGTTTATTCGAACCCAGTATCTATTTAAGACCAAGTAATAACTAAGGATGTTGGACAATGGCCTTACTGCTCGGCAGGCTTGAGCAACGACAGTATCCACATGGGTTTCCCAGGTATGCTGCTAGAGATACATCCCATCAACCATCCCCTGTCGACCGAACTCCTTCGAAAATTATCTTATTCAATTTCGCTGCTAACTCCAAGTACTTATACCTCACTTAATTGGCATCCGCCTCAGCGAGAGCATGCGCGATGGCGGCGATGTTTTCGATCTGGGTCATGGTAGTCAGCAAGTGGAACGTGCACAAAACAACGATCTAAAACCCAACCTTCGTCCAGTTAGAGCCAAAGACTCTGATTGCCGAAGGCCGTCTTCCTCAATAGTAGCAGCCCCTTGCATCGTACATGCCTTGGAAAGAAATTTTGACTAGAGACCTCTGCGAAACTCCCTCGTTAAATTGTCATACTCGATGATCAAATGGATACGGCTAAGAATTGCATCATCCAATCGGATACACCGATTCGAAGTTAAGAGCAGTATTCCTTGATAATACTCTAGCTTTCGCAGGAAAATGGTCACCAGTCCAATGTGGCTGTCGTGGAGCGCTGTTCGACTGTCATAGACGCATCCTCTTCATCCAAGGAAGGATGGAATTGAAGTGTTTTGCGATTTAAAAATGACTTCAAGAAGTGCCTGAAAATCTTCCCGTGGCATAACATATGAGACCAGTGCTCGACCTTAATCCTATAAGCGGGGCCAGAAAGGGTCGCAGGTCAGTGACGGGACTACCACGGCGCCGAAGATTGTGCAAATTTTGAGGAGCTATACTTCAAAGAGAAACGTATTAGTAAAACCCAAGAGGTGCTTTGGGCACGAATATATACATATGCATTAAAGTGGAAAAGCCCAAGGCAGCTCGGTCGGCACGGGCAGGTCCAGTCACGAAAGAGAACAGGTGACAGGAACGTAGGCAGGACCAAACAAACCACCAACAGCGAAGCTGCTGCAACAGAGACAAGATAGAATCGCACGGTCGGCTCACGCTCTGCCGACAGTAGATCCGGCTATCACGTCAAAAGTATCGTTGCCCCGCAGCCAGAGTCACAAAAACGAGAAGGAAATCTTTATGGAAAACGAGTGTATTTTGTCTTCGTGCACTTCCTTCCGCATGTGTGTGTATCTGTCCCTCTAGTGCATCGAAAGCACACGAAAATCATCGGCAGTTACCTACGGATCTGACTAGGTCAAAATTAAGGACTCTGGTGGTCAAATTTGGTGTAAAACTGCGTGCGTTCTCGGTTGCGACTATCGACCGCCATACCCGCACCATCACCATCTCGATCGAGGCCTACCCTCACACAACATGTCAATCCATGCCCACCAATACTTTCAGCATAGCAATCGATCATGCTGCATCTACTATATCCTCCCTGTGAACCACGCTCGCCTTCGTTTCCATCGCCACTAACTCTTCCACGCCGCTATACAGACTTGCCTGAACAGCTTCTTGAACATTCTTGTCAGTGCTTTCCCTAACAACCTTGAGAAGATTCGATGTCTGCCCCTCTCTGCTGAACAACAAATCCACTGCTTCCAGAGGCAATTGGTTTGTCTCTGGGAAAAAGAAGTATACAATCGGAATTGCAGCAAAGTTGAGCACTGCAAAGACGATGTATGACTTATACCCGATGTTCGTAATCAACACAGGCGTAATCTCCACAACCAAGAATGTGAAAGCCCACTGAGAGACAACACCAACAGCACCACCTCTCACACGAAGCTTCAGTGGAAGGATCTCAGATGGGTAAATCCACATATTTGCCTGCCACCCAACGGTGAAGAAGGTATAGAAGACATAAAGCACAGCAACTGCACCGTAACCCAGACTCTTGGTACCTATTCCAACAAACACCGCAGAAAGGGCCATGCACAATGACATACCAGCAGACCCAAACATGAAAAGTTGGCGGCGACCAAATCTATCAACAGCCCACCAAGCAATCAGACTTGAGAGGAAAAAATAGATTTGATTTCCACCAGAGACGAGAAGTGCATTTTGGCGACTTAATCCGATGGAATGTTGAAACACGTATGGGCCAAGGCTGGAAATGACATTGGAACCAGTCAACTGTTGCATAGCATTGACCCAAAAGGCGATGATGACTCTTGTTCGTCCAGAGACACCACTGTTTTTGAAGATGTCTGACCAGTTGCCATGTTTAGCGTCGATCTCAACCGCGTATTTGATTTGTCCAATCTCTTCAGCAACGTCTTCAACCCCTCTGAGAGCAGCAAGGCTTCTTGAGGCGTCGTGAAACCTGCCTTCTCTGACTAGGAATCGTGGTGACTCGGGGAGGAATGGTATGTAGCATCCAATGATGACGCAAAAACCAATCTGGAAGGCGCAGGGAAATCTCCATTGAACAGAACCGGAATAGGAAGCCATCCCGTAGTCCAACCAGTTGGCGATAATCAATCCAAGGATAAGATTAGACAGCTGCATAGCCGCCATCCGACCTCGAGACTTAGGGTTGGCACATTCTGCGAGCCAGACGGGAATAACGGTGGTCATCATTCCCAAACCGAATCCAGATACAACTCTACCGATCAGAAATTGCACCACACTAAAGGAGGTGGTTTGAATGATAGCCCCAATCGAGATGATTCCAGCTCCGCTCATGACATTTGGCTTTCGACCAAATTTGTCGCCAAAAAGAAAGATGTGAAGTGCACCAATCATGGCTCCGAGCTCATAAGAAGAGATGAGGAATCCCAGTAGAGATGCACCTGGATTGCCGAATTGGTTAAGGAATTCGCTTGATGTGGTGAGGCCTCCCATGAAGCCAAGGTCGTAACCGAAGAGGAGAAAGCCAAGACCGCAGCAAAGGGTAACAGCATACACTAGGGGTTGGCCTTTGAGGCCGATAAATGTAGGTGAAGACATTGTGGCTTCCTGGTGAGGTGGCAACCAAGCTGGTAATACGGTTGGTTCGGGAATGTTGCTTCTCTGGGGGTTGAAGAGTTATTTATCAACTAGTTGAAGAATCCCAAAACCGACCATTTCAGAGTCGCACGCTGCTAAACAATAACCGATAGTTTCTCTTCCCCATGGGGAAGATGTTCCAGGCTTCACAAGCTAAATTTGACTGAACAGCAGCGTGGTGACACCGCCTACTCCTGGCAAGGCACGGGTATAGCAGGCGAATGATGATTTATCACCTGATAATTGGCGTTCTGGGGTTGAGTGGAGTAATCCTTGAGCAGGTACAATTCGACACCTTCGCACCCCGCAATGTACCAACATCTAATTCGAACTTACTGAGCCCACACATTAAAATAAGGCTAGTCTACGCAGATCCGTCAATCGCTGACCTAATGATACTCGGTCCACTTCGGCAACTGAGAAATAACTTTGGCACTACTCGTGCCCTTCGGCGGCCTACGCCCAATTTCCCTGCTATAGCCGTTCATTGCTGGCACAACGGACAACCGGCAAATGACGTCTAGCCATGGCTATGTCATGATTTTTGCAGCTCGCACTGCGTGTACATTAAATAAATATCTTGTAACAGGCTGAGACTGGGCATTCCACGTATCTTCTCACAGTGTTCTTCACTATGACATATTTCGCCAATACCATAATTCAACAGCATGGAGATATTGCCTCGACACCATCGCAAGTATTCGGCAAAGGCAACTTAATTCTGAGAATTGGGTAAGAGCAAACTCCTGTGGATTATGATCTTGACTAACGTCACACCTGGATACATGTAGGAATGGTGGCGCAGGTAAGGCCGATGAATGTTGGTTACGACCATAATAGGACTAATATGGCGCAGGCGGAGTAGGTTTGGTCGAAGCCCTTGCAAAGGACTATCTATTGCTTCAGAAGAATCAGGGGAGGATTGAATGGATTTGCAATCATTCAAGGAACACCCAGTTGGCACTTCTAGGCGGATACGTTGACATTGCCCTCACATACGAACGCGAACAAGAGGAAATCGCTGTGTCAGAGGGCTGGGCTAAAAACGCGGGTTGCATATTCCACGATCACTTCTGTCTGGTCGGCCCTGAGCACGACCCGGCCAATGTCAAAGACACCATGTCCATTGAGGAGGCCTTCGACCGAATTGCGAAGACCGGTTCTATGTTTCACAGCAGAGACGATGGATCCGCCACTATGTGCAAAGAACACGATATCTGGCGCCGGTGTCATCGGACCCCATGGAATGACGCACCGGGGTCATCATCGTGGTACATCAAGGCTAAGCATAACCCGGCCGATGCTATAAGCTTCGCTTCTGCTGCTGGGGCCTACACCCTCAATGATCGATCAACATTATTGGATCAAGTGAGCCGTGGTAGGGTTCGAGGTTCGACTGTGTTTTTTGAACCAACAGACCCTTTCCATCCGCTCATGAATTCATGCTACGTGCTCTATGCACCCAATTCCTCAGCCTGTGGCAACGAACATGTTTCCATGTTTATCAACCATCTAAAGTCTGAGCGTAGCCAAAGTTTGATTGCCAGATATGGAGTGGATAAAGCAGAAGTTCCATTCTTTGCCCCAGTCAAGGATAAAATTGCGAAATCGTCTTTGGTTCACCGGAGGGTGAGAAATGGTCGATTGATGCTGAGCAACCAGCGACTACAGAAGCTTTAGTTCATTCTGGATACTATACAGAGGCTCCCCTTTCGCCTTGTATTACCTGTTATATATTTTTACAATTTTTCCCTTCAAGAGCGGGTATGAGGAAGGCAGGGCCCAAGGCGATGGAGGAGAAATACAACCTTCCTAGAAGAGGTACCTGATCTAGGAGTCTTCAATGGGTAAAATCTATGATCTACGCTGCTGTAGCCTACTTGAACCATTTCTTATCTACCGAAATGAAGAGGTTGGCGATTGAAGAGGTGGGATATTGTAAAGATAAAATCTACTTGCAGGGTAGAAGGCCTGTCAGTCGTCAAGTAAGGAAGAAAGCAACAAGCCAAATTGGGGGCAAGACTGTTTCTTGAGGAACCCTCAAGTACGTAGAACGGAACACTCCTATTTAAGCACAGGATCCTATCCCGCCTCGTATGGTCCTTCTAGGTTCCTTATCCGGATGGTCCCGAATCAAATTCTAGTATAGCTCTTCAAAATTGCACAATCTTCGGCGCCGTGGTAGTCCCGTGACCGACCTCCGACCCTCCTGACCCCGCTTATAGGATTAAGGTCAAGCACCGGTCTCATACGTTATGCAATGGGAATCCCACGATGGGAGCCCAGGAGCAACCCGGACCTAGTAGTTTCTTCCGCTGTGGAGTATTGTGAGAGTACACTGCGACAGTCCTCGACCACCTTAGTCAGCCCAGTCCTTAGCTAGCGCGCACAGACATATACAGTCCGTAGCTAGGGTATTCATAAATTACCATTAATACAGATTCTTACAGGAATGATAATTTATGGAGGGGCTAGAACAGAAAGGTGAGTGAAATTTTTCTCCAACTGTGAGAAGTGACGGCGTATTCATTCGAAAAAGGCCGTTCCTGCAATAGGAGGTAACTGATATTCGATAGGGGGTTTCCTTCTAACGTTTTATGGATATGTACGAACCCTTATCAACGTTTGGTACTGTGACATGTAGAGCAGGAGACGGCTGGTTAATCGGCATTTTACATTCGGACATATCACGGTAAGCGACGTTCAGGTACTCGATACTTACCTTCGTTAGGATCTGAAAGATATTTGATTATAAGCAAGCATCTCTGTCGATATGAGCTTTTGCCAACTCCTTCCTGCGTTTGAGCGTGTAATAGGATCGAGGCCTACGATTAATTCATCTGACGAAAACAACTTTATATCCCTTCGCGCACGAAGTGGGCGTGTTCATCCCAGGCAAGGACCAAATTTTCATCATGAGCAACCGCATTCATATCGACAAGAATTCCCAGAGAGTTCAAATTTCGAAAATTAGTCACGTAGCACAGCCCACGCATATTGTCAGATAGGGAGCATTTTCAGCAATTGACATATTTGATTCGTTCTATTGGTGCGCCCGTATGGCCCCATTTTCCTGATTTCCAACGAGAGTTCAAATCCACGTGATGAATAGCCGATTCAGTTTCAAATGCCGCTCGCCACGTTTGAATTTCAATTCTTTCAGCACACCTCAAAAATGATACAATCGTAACGGTGGATTTATATTTGACAATCCCCTACATTTGAAGGAGTCATGAAACGGATTTCACGGGCTTGCATTCGCTGCAGGAGACACAAAGCCAAATGTGTATTGTAAGACAGTCAGCCCGAATAGCCGAAGCTCTGTTTTTTTGAGTGTCTGTACGTATTATTCCGAACTAACCATGAAAACACCACAGAGCGAGTTCGGGTCACGTCCTTGGCCCGCCATGCCATAAATGTGTCCACGCCGGCGTTGAATGCGTCCTTGCAACTTCAAACCGCGGCGGATATCGGCGACGCAAAACACATGATTTGCTGGTTGACAGTGCGTCGACGGAATGGCAATACTCAACCCCAGAAGATCGGGAGGGGGCACAGGAATCGACGCCCGCTTCAATTTGTGCCACTCATCAGAACACTCATGAGCAGTTCGAAATTCGTGACTCAGCTCAATCTGCTGGTATTATTGATGATACCTTCGCCTCGACAGACTTACACAATACCTCAGATGCACTAAAATTCTTGAGTAAAATTGCTTGCAGTACCTCAACAAACATCCTCCCCTGTACTGAACCTTTGCATCTTGCTCAATATAGCGGAAATCAAGCCACGGTCCCCGAGACTGGCCTGCTTGAGTACCATCTCGTCAAAGCTGGTATCTTGACACCATCCCAGGTTCTCAATCTTGTTGAACGGTAACCAGAAACCACTACGTTCTGCAGTTCATATCGCTGACAAGCGTTTATCCACCAGCTTTGCCACCATATATCACCCATTCTACCCCATTGCGCCAGAGAAATCCTTGAATCGCGCATTTATTTCCGAAACAGCGCGAAGCGAGCCATATCTGCTAACTGCAATATGCGTGATTGGTGCCAAGGATATGGCCAATGGAGAGCATATTCTGGGGACTTGTGCTCAATACATGAGTTCCCTAGTAACAGAGATTGTAGCAGGCAAGAAATGTGGGGTGGACGCAATTGAAGCTTTGTTGTTGCTGGCAGAGTGGGAACCTCAATGCTCATTGCCCGGATCTGCCAACTTGGGTTATGGACAAGAAGACATGGCAGCGTGGATGCACATCGGTCTTGCTGTCCGGCTAGCGTATTCCAGGAGGCTAGATCGAACTCAGTTCTATGATGTTTCGAGGAATAGAGGCGCAAACGCCTCTCGGGAGCGCCTAGTGTGGGCAGGTAAGCAGGGCTTTAGTACCCTGGCACGTTGCAGTTATGGCTGATAAGTGTACAGCCTGTTACCTATCGGATCGTCAAATTTCTGTCAGAATAGGCCGACCGTTTGCGTGTCGTGGCCTGGAGCCTAGTATTGTTTATGGGCGTTATGGCTTTCCAACTGTGGGGTCCCAAGAGTTGGTAGAGGAGAATTTCTCCAGTGTCCTCCGTGCGAGGTTGGAATTAACACAGATCTTTACTAATGTACACGAAGTCCTCTACTGCAACATGGGCGCTGGAGCACAGATGATGCTCGTGGGAAGCTATGCCGCCTACTTGGATGACTTTCGAGGAGCAATTGCAGCATGGAACTGTGTCTGGGGTTCTTTGACATGTGAGCCGAATCTATCAATCCCTGCTTTGTGCGTACTAACTGGAACACTCCAGGTTCTCAAAACATAAAGATATTGCTCCAATTGTCATATGAGTATTTGAGATTATACGCCAACGCATTCGCCTTCCAAGCAGCTGCTCTTCGCACAATATCACCAAACTTTCCCGGCGTAGAAAATAGAGGCGCCCACACCGAAGACCTCGGATCTCTCCCCGAAGCCCGCTTCATGTATGAGTCTATAGATGCTGCGAAGGCACTATTGACTATTGTCAACAACTATATTCCGTCAGCTGAAAACTTGAACCAGTTTCCCATCCGTTTTCCTTTGTATGCTTGGCTAGACTTCACGGCCTCATTACGTTGCTGACCATGAGGCAGGTACTGCGTCAATGCTGCTGTCTTCTTATATAAGGTAGAGTGCTAAATCAAGATAATGATTGTTTTGCTAAGTATAACACTGTACAGATATGGAGTCTGAACGCTATCTCTCATCCCGAGCGTGGCAGTGTTCGACGGCTTATTGGCGATGCAATCAGTTCATTGCGCAAGGGGACAACAGGATCATCAGAACTCGGGGCAAGATACGCTAATCTGCTCGAAATCTTATGGAAGCGAGTGGATCGAATCTTTGCCACGGATGACGCAAATCCAACATTTGATAACCAAGCACGACCGCTTCCCCAGTTCCAAGTCCGTCCTCAGTATGTCCAAGACGGCTTTTCCTGGCTCGATTTGGAAGCCATCGGTGAATTTGTCTTGGGCGGTGCCGCTTCCAATGATATTGACTTGACTAATATGCAACGCACGATGGACACCTCGTTTTGTGAAGGGGCTGATTGGGGTGACGCTCAATTTTTTGCCAGCAATGAGTTTTCTCGAATCTTCTAATATGAATTTCTATTCTCTTGATATTTTTCGATAAGTTCATATCTGACGTTGATCTCTTTCGATTCAGTCACCAGAACCCAAGGTTTATAATCTGCCCAGTGAAAATCCAAACCACGGCTTTAGAACTTATTTCCCTGTGGCTCGAACTTCAGCTAATGGTGGGGCTACTGCTATCTCAAATATAGTAGTGGTGGAACCCATGACAGTAGCGTATTAGTGGCCTGAGGTATCACAAAATGCCTTAGGAAGCTTGTATGCAGTTTTTCCCTAGAGATAGCAGCATCCTACCATCCTCAATATGACTACAGTTTTTCCACCAAATTCTTCTTTTATGATACAGTTTCATTTCTAGTACCAATAGTCATCTACAGAGACTGCTCTCTACGTCTGTACCGGACATGGGAGTGGTTGGTTGCGCTGTCTCCGTTGATATCGACCCGTCTGCTATGTCAGACTGCCATCGTGCCATCCCCATTTCATTAACTAGTTAACTAACTTCACCAACAGATGAGTCATCGTAATAATGCCATAATGTCCCATGGAACTACACAGGATCTTTAGGGAGTTGTGGCGATCTGGCATGATCGTCCGGCCTCTCGAGGTCTGAATCGTCAAAGTCAAGACTATCAATGAATTCAAGAGCCATACTGTTGTAGAGAGATTCAGCTGCTTTACTCACCCGTATTGCTGCAGGGAGGGGCGAATTTAAGCTGCGCGTCGGCGCCGTAACTATGCCTACTGGGCGGTGTGATAGAGAATGAGGGGAAGGTGGGCCTACAGTTGTACGATCTCACCGCTTCTTGTGGGGGGTGTGAGTGTATTGAAAGATAGTAATACAATTTACTACGCTAAACTACTAAGGAGGAGGGGGCGGCGAATTAGCAATCTGGGTGTCGATTTATCAATACCCGAAGAAACTAGTCATGGATCCTTTGGGTGGATGGTCCGACGATGCAAGCGTCGGGAGGCCAACGATCGGCGTCGCCCCACAGAGCACCCCATGATGGCCAATGTGGAGCGCCTTCCGCTGGCCAAATGGGTCATCTTGGGAAGTCGCACATGGGACGTGGATGACCGGGGATCGTGTGGAACTCAATTACTGTGGGGTGAGTCTATGCAGTGGATGATTGGTTAACTGCTCGTATAAGCAGACCCACAAAGGGGTCATGCTCTGTGTGAAAAAACAGCGCCCTTGCGGCATTTTCCCTTTGTATGATCAAGTCTTTTTTTAAACATTCATTCCTATGCTATTTGCATCACCTGCTATTGTGTGGCACGACATTATAAGTGTGAGTCTCTAAATCAACTATTATATAAGTATATACTCTCAGCTAACGAGGTAGGTAAGTCTCTTGAGCCTTTTTTTTTTCCAGCTATTACTTCTCAAAGTCAATACTATGAAGCCAATAACTGCCGCCGCCGTCATTGCAATTTTGGCATCTCAGGCCCACGCCTTCAACCATGTGTGGTATTGGTGTGGCAAGTCTACTACTACGTGCAAGAATGAAGGAAAGCCGTGGAACGGAGTTTATCCGACCTACGACTGCGGACATAAATTGAAATGGGACAACTATCAACAAGCTTATGGAAAGTGGTATCAAAGTACGGATGAGTGGGACGACTGGGAAAAGAAAGGCGGATTCAGAGACTGCTGTCATGCGGCCGGAAAGGGCGCTTGCTACAGTTATCAAGAGTAGGTAACCTGCGTGTGAGGGACTGCACGGGACTGAATGCCTGGGAAGGGAGAGAGTAGACAGAGAGACTCCACTATCTGCTGTCATCAACGCGTGGTTTTCTGAACGCGGTTCTACGTAATATTTCCTCTATCATGCAGGAAAGCCCACAATCAACCATGGATGACGATTTTATCGCTGGACTACCCTCCCGAGAAGCACACTCTGCTCGACTTCAGCCCTTATTTCCTACCTCTCAACCCCCACGGCTACAGCTACCTCGTAGATTAGACCTTGAGAGCCCATACGCGATTTTCTCCCTCTTTATTAGCGAAGAGATATTCGTGTACATTAGCCAGCCTACCAACGAATACGCCCAGCGAAAACAAGCAGAAATCGAATCAACTACTAGTCGTGTGTAAAGATAAAATCTACTTGCAGGGTAGAAGACCTGTCAGTCAGGTAAGGAAGAAGGTAACAAGTCTGATTGTGGCAAGACTGTTTCTTGAGGAACCCTCAAGAACCAAAATGAGACACTCTATTTAACATGATCCTCTACATAGTCTAGAAACCCGGCAGACAGACATCGATAATCGAATCGCCCTGCAAACATGGAAGCGGAGAACCACCTTATCAAAAACCTACTTATGTCGCTCGGCTTTTCCGCTGCCTTGGTTAAGCGTTACCTGCAGTTTGCCGACCAAAGTACCGTTGCGGATCGTAAGGTGGCCATACCAGCGGCGACGGGGCGGCCAGTGGAGGCGTACTCAGCAACCTCCTGCCAATATCCTTGCTCAATGTCTTCGCAGGTGACGCCTAGCGTCCCTGCCAAGGAAAAAGACCAGATTGAACAGCCTTCGTTAAAAGACAACCTGCAGCCAGCGAGTACCGTCCTCACGCAGCTTACACAGGAATCCACAGAGGTGCAACAGAGGAGCACAACCTCATCTCCATTCAAGAAGAGCATGACAGAGCAGCTCGCTTCGGAGCCTCGGCCACATCATCAAAATGCTTTCAATACGACCCCCTGTGTCGCCGCCGAGGAGTTGCTTGATCAACATAATGCTCAGGGGATAGATATGGATGAACTCCGACGCAGAATATGCCCAGGAGTTAAGGAGACTGAGCTCGGTTGCTGCTGAGTACAGAACAACGTTTTATTCCAGATCTTGGATGAGATCAGCGACGAGAAATTACCATGAGCCGTTGACTAGTTGACACGGCCCATGTCGTACTGTAAATCCCCGTGTGGCTATTGTGATATCAGTCACGTTGCCAGCCGAACAGGTGACTGTATATTACTACCCCAACACCGTTGGTACCTACATGAAAGGCCCAAATTGATTCGAGGGCTTCAGTGAACAAACTGGGGCGATAGTGAAGAAATCAAGATGTTTAAGAAACCCAGGTCTGGAGTCCATTCCTGAGAGTACTGTACCTCTTATAAACTCTGGATAGAAGCTGGACTTTGTATGCATAACCGAGAAGCGCGCAATTCCAGGGATCTGGCCCCGGTAAATGGAAGAACGGGTTCAGGTTCGGACATATCTATTGCCTAGTCCCAAGATGAAAGCCGATTCGCACCAGCATCCTACGATAATATAGTCAGCATCCGGGATCCAACATCCAATGACTGGTGAGTTCTAATATACCTTTGCGAATGCTGTAAATTTGAGAAACCGTGTCTACTAGCTCAATGCCGTCCATTGTCCAGCTAGTCGGGAATTGGTCAATAATGTTGATATAGGAGGCTTTAATTCTGCTCTTCTCCTGACGAGATTGTCTAGCTATTTATACATACAAATTGGCCCTGGTCTACTCATTGACCATGCCGTGACAGGAGAGAGAACCGATCGTCTGGGGGTGAGTAGCGACAACTCGTAGTTTGCAGTACTGACCACGATATCAATGCCAGAAATGGCGCAGATCTCAACAAACGAGAGGTTTTATTTGTATAGGCATCGGGCTAGATAATTGAGCTGATCAAGATGAGGAGATGATATTGAACAGCACCAAAAGATTCGGGTTACAATGCAAATATTGGTTTCTAGAATCCGAGAAATATGAATTCTCCATCTCCATCTGCTAAGAAGATTTACGGTGATGTCTCAGCTTTGAAAGTCGCCTCCTTCGCTTCCAATTCATCCATGGTAGGCTTTCTTGCCCACACGCGGTGCCTGAACGTTATTAGCATCAAACAATTCAGCACAATTTGAAAGAAAACGAACGCAGGATTATAGGCATGAATATGTGGGTCCTTCAGCTCTATGCGCACTTTAGCTAGGAACACCTGCACCTCCTCCTTCGTCCACGGCTCCGGCTCCCCGAAGTGGGTGAGAAGCCACATCGCCCAACCTTCTAGAGCGGCGTTCCAGTGGGCATCTTGGAGGTGTCCGACCTCCTTCAGTAACTTATCCTTAGGCCAAGGTCCTAAGGGGATCTTGTACTTTTCCTCGTGCAGTTCCACGAATCCGGTCTTCTCAATTGCGCTGCGCATGGTTTCGTGGATGTTGAGCGACCGTCCAGCTCTCTCGGCGCACCTAATAAACATTGGTCCCCACTCCCATAGCTGGTGTTCTTTTTTCAGGGTACCGTCATCGCTAGAGACCCGCACGTCAAATTCCATCTGCTCGATCCAGCCACCGGGTTCGAGGGCGCTATACCGAGAGTAAACAGATATGAGCGTTTGATGACACGAGACCGAGTAATAAGGATGAAACTCACTCGTAAGCCTGTTTGTATAACTGGTCCCATCCCTCAGGAGGGAAGGCGCCATACAGGAGGCGTATATGGATAAAGTCAAACGAGTCTCTCCATGTCCACTCGCGGAGCACATCATCCACTTCGAACACGCAATTTGGGGGCATCCATGACACTGGCGGGGGAAAAATATCCACGCCGCGGACGGTAGCTAGCCAGCGTCAGCCCAAGAACAGAAGGAGTCGTCTCGGGAAATCTAGTACCTGACGGATAGCGGTCGGCAACATCACTAAGGCTCGTTAATGGTTTTCTCGAAACGTATTGCTCATCGGATTACATTGCCCAACTTCCTTGACCAGTTCCGATGTCCAGAATATGCTACATTGTGATGTTAACGGGACGTTCAAGTGAGTGTCGCCTCGGGAACTTCACCTTGGGCGAATCGCCGATAGGGGCGCGAAAAAGAGGATTCGGCTGGTTGAAATCTAGAACAAGAAACACCATATGGCTGAGTTCATCATAATCACAGACCTTCTATTAGTGAGACATAAAAAATATGAGGATGAGATGCGATTTACCCGATCTCAAACGCCTCGAATTGCTGCTCGTCAGAAGGTCCCCTGGATATGGTTACTCCATGTATATACAAATCAATGCTTCGTAACTAACCAGTAATCATCTTCTTTAGTGGCCTGGTATCTACTTCTTAGGTTAAAACCAGGAAACGACCTTAGGCTGGACTAGACTGACCTTCGGCCGTTTTCTAATCGTCCCCTCGCGATCGAGGACGCAATAGAGGTGGTCTCTCTGAAGACGTACTAGAGTGAGAATACGATAGAAGGTATGCTGTAGTTGCACTCACGACTGAAAGTCCTGCGGATCTGTGCCAAAACCAGTAGCTATAGAGTAGAAGTCTGGGTCCTAGTCGAGACATGAGAATGACCGCATCAGAACATCAAACACTACTTACCACTGCGATTTTCTCCATATCTTCAGTCGATGATTTCCCAAAGACTTGGGTGAAACTATTGACGTCGGAGCAATTTGAGAAAACGGCTGGGCAAAAAATGGAGGCGGGGGAAAGTGGGATGTTGGGGCGGAGCGTGACCAACTCACGCCTATACTAGTAACAAAGAAAAAAGAAAAAAGTACCAGGCGGGGAAGGCGGGGGCTACTAGCGATTGGCCAACTGTTGACCATTCCAACAGACCCAGAGCCCAACGCGATCTGCCATGGTTTGATAGAAGTCATTGCACTTCAGCGCGGCTTAAAGCCTTGCCGATCGGGCTGCGGGGTGTCCCGGAATCATGGGAAGAGGGGCTAGCAAAGCGCAAATCTGTGCACCTAGCCACTGAAAGATCCCCGAGGCCACTGAGGGATCAGACCGCCGCCCAGAGAACCCATCATACGCGCGAGTATTATTATTTTTCCCATCTCAAATGGCCCGGCTGTGGAGCTGCTCTCTCTACACGCTAGTCAGCACTAGAAAGTGGATCTCACGCACGCGGGAGAAGGCCACGAATAGCAACCGCTGCATTAATGTAACCAGCTCCATGTCCGTGAAGTCAAAAGTCGTCACGCGTTTCCCATATCCAATGGTGGCCGTAGTATATAGCAGGGCCCGCGGACTCCCCCAAAGGCCACTCTCCCAATTCTTCCCGGTTGTTTCTTCCGCTATGGCGGTAGCCGACTTATCAGGTCAGGCTGTGACGCTCTTCTGCTGCCTCTTGAGCCTCTATGTCTTCAGGATTATCACGACATATGCTAAGTTGATGCAGTTCCGGGGGCCCTCGGGGACCGGCATTTCGAACTGGCCTCATAGCATGGCGATGCTTCGAGGCAATTGCCACGAGTGGTACGCAGAAGTCAACAAGAAACATGGTGCGAGGGATTTTCCTAGACATCTCTTATGCTTTGCATCCGGGGAGCCGCATATATTATAGCTAACATCTTCGACTTGAGCCAGGTCCGATCGCCCGTGTCGCGCCTCAAGTGCTGGTCACGTCTTCTCCCGAAGTTTGGATGCACGTAAACAACAAGCCTGGCTACAAACGCTCCAATTGGTACTACAAAGCCGCACGAATCGAGTACCGGAGGGACAATGTCTTCAGTCAGACGGATAACACGAAACACGAGCAGCGGAGGAAGCAGATGGCTCCAGGGGTATGATAGCTGCCTCGTAC